ATAGATAGGCAACAAATAAGAGGAGACAATTTGGCCTTTGTTCTTCTTCAGCTTTCAAGAGTGTGTTTTGTACAACTGGAAATATCACTAAATGCTCTTCTGTTCCAGAGTATACAATGTACAGGGCAGTGCTATGCCAGGTATCCCTGTTTCAGAGAGCCACAGGATCTGCTATCTTTGCTGTGCTTGTTTTAAGGCTTCACTTAATGACTGAATGGTTACGTTCTCCATCTGATAAGAAGGATCTTGAGTGTTGAGGCTCTTCATTACGAGGAGTAGCTATCTCTGGTCTAGAACATTGACCAAATGAAGTTTTCCATTTCTTTTTGAGGATTTTTTACTGACATACCACTCGCTTACATCAAATAAGGTTCCTTTCAATTGACATGAAGCAAGTCAATGTTTTCTGAAACTTGTATGTATTAGATGGAATAATGCTTATACAGGTGTGCATTTCATGCAACAGAGATCATTGGTGCATTTTAAATCATTAGAAAAATAATTTTGTTGATCCTTGTTTTGCATTTTTTCCCCAGATCCTCAACGAAGATGTTTTAAAGAAGACCTGTGAAGATTATCAGCTCTGCATCATTGCTGTTTTGCCTCACATTCTTGATACAGGTATGATAGGCTTTTTACAGTTGGTAGTTAAGTATCCTAAGACCTTATTTCATCACATAACGCTCTGCAGTCATGATGGGGCTATTTGGCCCATCTTGCCCTTTTGGCAGTGGAGTAGCTAAGTGAATCTAAAATTTTGTCCAGCCCTCTCCTAAAGCTGCACAGAGTCTGTACCATAGCCATCTGCCTGGAAAGCGCACACCACTTTTTGAGTATAAGTGTTTCCTATTCTCTGTCCTCCATTAATTTCCCTTAGGTTTTCACCTATGACCCCATGCCCTTGTCTCACTACTAAGTGTGAAACAATGCCCTGGTCTGAACCCACTTATACTCGTAAGGATTTTGTTTACTTGGATCAAATCTCCTGTGTTCTAGAAGATATTTCTCCGAATCCCTCGTGACTTGTCAGTGTACGTCAGATTCTTGTTTTCACAGAACAGTCTTTTTGCTCTTCTGTGAATTCTTTTCTACCGCTATAATATCCTTTCTCAATATCCTTGGCGACCAATATTTTGTTCGATCTCTGAATGAGGTCTTGCTAGTGCTTTATAGAGCTTGAGTATAATATCCCTGGATTTAAATTCCACACTTTTCGCTATATACCAAAACATATGGTTTGCTTTTTAATTGCTTTCACACCTTGTTTTGAGGACATCAAAGAATCTACATGGGCCTCCATCTGGGACAAGTCTAATGTTTGGAGTTCACACGCATTTATTTGTTTCTACAGGTGCTGCTGGCAGAAATGCATACTTGGATGTCATGATGAAAATGGCAGAAAAATACAAGAAAAAGATTTGGGGGTAATGATGCATTCTAGACTACAAACTTTTAGTTGTGAGGAAAAGCCCTAGTTCACTTGCATGCCACTGGAGTCTGTCAGACAATTCATCCTTTTTAAGAATGCCCATTTTCTGTTTTAACTTGGAAACAATCCATAAAACCAGATGGGTGTCAAGCCTGATGTATATTCATGTCATGCTGTTTTCAACTCCAAGGCTTCCTAACTTGTTGGATCTCATATCACATGGTCAAGTTTTAGAGCTTCACTCAGACCTGTCTTTTCAGTTTTTCCCTGGCTGGCGATGGAACTGAATGTGAAGTCCTTGGGGCTGGCTTGCACAACTTAGAATTGGGCCTTTACTGCCTCACACACCAAAAAAAGTCGATGGACTATGTTTCTAAAAAACATTTTCTGTAATGGCTCCAGTCCTCATTGAGACTTGGTGTCGTTGCAGGTGGTTGTGGACGGAAGCCGGAGCTCAGATGGATCTGGAAGCCTCGCTGGGGATCGGGGGCTTTGGCTATCCAGCCATGGCAGCTATCAATGCCAGGAAAATGAAGTATGCCCTTCTGAAAGGCTCCTTCAGCGAAACTGGGATCCATGAGTTTCTCAGGTAGCCCCTCTCTTCCTTGACTGGTGGTTTTATAATTGCAGGGGTTTGACCTCTACTGGTTGTGTGGGAACGGGTGAAGTACAGAACCTCCACTTGGGTGCCGCTTGCGAAATCCTGTAAAAAAAGTGATCCGATCTGTTTTGTGCAGGGACCTTTCCATGGGACGTGGATCCACAGCGACAGTGGGAGGAGGAGCACTTCCCAAGATTAATCCCGTGGAGCCTTGGGATGGCAAAGACGGAGAGGTAAATAGGAGTACACTAAGTGAATAGTGATTCCTTAAATGCCATTAATGCAGTATGACCTTGTTGAGCCCTTTGTATTTCTAAATCTGCAGTGGTAACCAGTGAACTGGAACATTTAGGATTAGTTGAACTCGGCTCACAAACCAAATGTGGGACCTGACATTTTGTGCTTTGTGTTGCAGCTTCCTATGGAAGACGATATTGACCTGAGCGATGTGGAGCTCGATGACCTTGAGAAGGATGAGTTATGAGAGTACTGTACCCATTTCTTCAAGTCTGGGTTTTTTGGTGAACCAGGATCCACATATTTAAAAGACTTTAAAAGGCTTTATTTCCATCCCTCTATCAAACCAGGATTAGTGAATCCAAACCCAGCAAAGGGTTTTAAGGCAGTGTTGTTCTGCCAACTCCTGTCTTAGGGATAAGTGGAACATTTATTTCAATGGACTGGCAATTTTTCTTCTTTTTTTTTCCCCCCTGAAGGAGGGGAAACTTTGAAAATGCACTGTCCACTTGTTCACAAAATGCTGGTGCTTTAAACTTGCTGATATCTGGACTGACCCTTCACAAACCCAAACCCAGAGAAAATCCTAATTTATTGTGAAATTTGGATTATCAAGTGTACCATCCCCTTTTTAAAATAATTTGTTTCCTGCTGTAACTTTAAACAAAATGAGGTCTTGAGTATGAATGTCTACTTCCAGTTTTATGTGCGGTCACTAAAAGACAATGAGGGAATGTGGGAAATGCATTGTATATTTTTTACTACCTAGCTGTCAACATTTGATTGTGAATACTGCATTTTTGTTTTGAAAAAAAAGTTAACTTCTCAAAATGTGTGTATTTTTGTTTCCTGATGGGATGGGGCAAGGAACTATGTTGGGAGAGGGCCCTTTTATGCTAAGGACTCGGTTTGTTCCCTTATTGTGAACTGCAGTGTCCAGTTTGGGGAAAATGTTGAAAATGGTGGGCTGTAATATCCTGAAGACTGCAGATGCTTTCATGGGATTATGCTCTTCTGCAAGGAGAGTGATCGAATGGTAATGTGGGGAAAACTCGGACTGAGTCCCTTGCTCTAGAAACGTTTCCAAGTGTGGCATGTCCGCGTGTCTGTGAAAACTGCGGCGCGTGTCGTTTCTGCAGGAGCCCAGGCCTGAACACGGTGAAGTGACAGCTGTACTGGCCTGTCAAGGTGCGAGTCCGTGTTTTAAGTGCGTGTGCTCTGCAAACAGCAACGGATCAGTGAAGAGATTCAAGATGTCTGTAAGAGATGGTTGGCAAAATTCTGATTTGGCAGAATTTAAGTTTTGCAGTAGAAGTTCCCGGTTTTCAGAATTTTGAACTGGAACAGTTTAAACATTAAAGCTGGCACTAAAGTGTCCACCTTAACCCCCCCCCCGTTATTGCTGACTTATCCAAAGCGACATACTCATTTATTTAGCTACTGTAGTTATTTTACTGAAGCAGTCTCAGTGAGGTGGGTTGGTTTAATGTTTAGGATGGTCTTAAGTATTTAAAGTGCATATTCAATCAGACTGGGTGATACATGAGAACTGCTAAAGTGCATTAAGTGTACAGAGGTGTTTTAGTAATTCATAGACTGGAAACACTTTCACATTGGATGAACAGAGGTTTCTCCTTCGTAATAATGGTCTAAGAAAAGGCACGTGTGATAATAATGGGTCTGGCACTGTTGAAACAGAGCCTAACTGGAGGGCATTATCCTCTCCTGAGGCAGTTTTTGTTTTGGACCACAAGGGGAGACACTTTTGTGTTCCATTTTTCGAACTCTTAAGTAATAGTGCAGGGGTGCCCAGTTCCAGTTCTAGAATTCTATAATTCTTTTGGGAGTTTTAAAAGTTGAGTGGGGAAAGAAAATCGGCAGACCTCTGGTTGACTTTAGTAGGGCACCCCTGGTCACAGTGGGTCCATATCTGTTGTTCTTGTATAATAAAGACAGGTATGACTGTCATTACTGTATAAATAAAAAAGATGGAAGTGAAAATATAAAAGTTTATTACACCAAATACAAACAAGATATTGGAGTGTTTCAGCCTAATCAAAAATGATTAACATTTTGACACCAAGATATATATATATAAAAAAATTAATGCATGATTAGTTACTCATTGCAGATTATTTAGTAAATAAGGATTTTAGGCAGAAAAGCACAAAATGCTTAAATGATGTTAAAAATATTCCTCATTATTCACCCCCAAGCAATTTGCATTTATAAATTGAAATCTGCACTTCAATATTGCTTTTCTGGCATATTTACAGCAAAACTGAATTGTATTTATTTTTTACTGTGTATTTTGTACATTTAAATTCCATAATTTTAGTGTGATGGGATTTAAAACATTCTACCTTTCAGAATCATTAACAAACATTAATATGAAATGTAGTTTTACATCTGTAAATCAAAAATCTTTTGTTTGGAATCAGACATGCTCCTCTTTTGAAAGGCCAATGAGACATGTTGATTTATAGATAAACTGGTTGGAAGTCCTTTTCAGATAAACACGCAGGTTCTTGTTTTGGAGGATTAAAGTCACAGTATGCTATCCCCAGAACAGAAAAACTACTCTGTACTAGATTTTTTTTTCTGAACTAATTTCTTAAGCAAGATACGTTTACAGACAGTACAGTATTTCAAAATGCATATCTGATTCCAGCATTAAGTAAAACTAACATTACTGAAAACATGAAAAAAATCAGTTATGTCATTGAACACAACTCCTTGGTACTTGTTAAATCTCCTCAAAATGCAGCACGTTTTTCAGACAGAAGATTAAAACAATGTAAATGAGTCCTGTGAGCTCTGCGTCTCGCACATTGCCATTTATAACCACACATCACTTTAGTCATTAGTCGTTAGTCGCTATAGTCGTATCTCTCTACGTGTCTGTTTAGCAGTATAGTTATTGCATCAGGCTATTCTAATAAGATGTTGAGTGTAAGTGTGCTCTGAAAATCACAGCATTTCTGTAGTACATGTAATTACAGGGTAATCGGAGTCCAAAATCCTGTGGCTCTTCATATGTATCCCTGTATGTGTTGCAGTTGGGGTTTGTGCCATTTTCACAGCGTACCGTCAGTGTAAGGGACTTTTTTTCCCACTAGAACACAGCTGAGTAAACCGGTCATGCTTAGCCTTCAGCTACCGATCCATGCTTAGAATGCCTGCGTGTCATTGCGTTTCAGGAAGTGCATAGACTTTAAGTCGTCTCGCTTTTGTTACTCTTGAGTAATATGGCTAAATGTTTGTCGAGATCTCTAGATTACAGAATGAAAACAAATGCATTATACTATAGCTATAAAGCAACTTGATCTTGTACTGAATTTGTTAAAGCAGTGAAAGCTAGATTTCCGGAATATTACCATTATTCTTATTCATTTGAAACAACCTGACATGGGCCCAATTTGTTTATTGTGGTTTCCTTTGACTTCTCTCTCGGATGAGGACTGGACCTCCTCTGTACAGTACCTTGGCACCTACACCTGTTAAAGATCAATCAGATTCACATCAATCGTGAAGTAGACATAGCAATAGTATTCCTGGTTGCTGAGACCTAATCCAGGAAGATCAACTCCAGCCTGCAAGAGAAGGGAACCTGTGTGAGTATTTTGCACCTTTTAAAAGCACCTCATTGCACACCGTGCTAGCGAGGACACTCGCACACTGGCAGCCTCCTACCTTGCTTGTGCCCCTAAGATTGCTGATTGGGTCTGAGTTCCAATAAAGATAAATCCTTGCATTCATCTAGTGCTTTTCATCGGTATTAATGGGATTAATGTTTATTAGAAATGGACAGTAATTCCTTACTTCATACAGTTCCCAGAGGTATGAAAAGGTATTTTTGCTTTGACTGTGAAGAATAAAGTAATATATCCAATGTGATCATGGAAAATCATCACCCCTGCCAAGAATCCTTCATTCCTGTTTCTTTTTAGGATTAATAGTGCTTCTCTTCAGCTAGGATTCTCTTTAGTAGAAATGCATAGTTCTCGCACATTTAGAATACGAGTGGATTAAATATAAAAACGTATAAACGAAACTACTGTTTTCCTCTCCATTTTTACAGGAATAGTGGCCGAAAGAGCAGTGGGAGGCGGGGAAGCCTCTATCGGATATGTCTCGGAACACAACCTCAGTACTTCAAATCATCAGATCTCAGGTTAAATTGCTTCAGCTGAGCAAATAGTGTAATTAGGTAACTAAGGGAATGGTAGGCAGAAGACTTGAAGACCTTGTGACCCTTAAGGGCTCAAGTTAAAGGTTAAAGGCCTTTTCTGATCAAAAGTGCTTAATAGAATTAGCTAATGGGGACCATTTCCTAGATGGCAGTTCCCAAGTGGCTAAGCTCCACTGGGACTGCATAGGCATAAATTAGCTGTAGTACCCTTATCCATGTAAGTCAAGCAACTTAATTTAAATTAAGGCTCCAGTAAGATAATTAAGCTCAGCTGGGATGAAACCCAGCAGGAGTGTGGCCTCCTGGGATCAGGATTGCGAACCACTATCGGCACTCTGCTGGCTTCAGTACTGTGGTGAACACCATTTTTATCAGCTGTGCGAGACCTTTTCAGACTGTGTTACTAAAAAAAACAAACCTGGACACAAGATCCCCCAGGTGAAACATCTGACAAGATATGTAGCAAGTAGCAAATAGGTGATGAGGAAGTTCCTACACACAGCCTTTACAAGTTAAAAGGTTAAGATATATTTTTAAAACTATTGGAAACTATTACATACATCCAGCTTGCTTGATGCTGCCACACCGTCCAAGTGCTTGTAGAGTGAATTTAATATTTCTCTCAGGCGTTTACTGTTCTTCTTGCTGGGCTGCAGTAGAATTGCTTGAAAGTTAACCGGGAGCCCATACCTACAACAAAGATGACAAAACATGGCAGAGTGCAGAACTGATCGGATCACAACCTCACTTCTCCAAAGTAACATTAACTCTTATGTCTATCTACAATTGAAATCCTGCTGAAATTCTCAGTTTCTCTTAGTGTAGACACATGAACCTTATTGTCTTTGCAATAAGAAAACTAAGAAGACACTTCCTTTTATCTAGAGAAATATAGCAAACTCAAGCAAAATACTCTGGTAAGACTTCATCTAAGATACTATACTGTATGTAGTTGTGGTTTTACACTAAAAAATAAACAGTACTGTACATTCTTGCTCTGAGAAGAAACCAGAAAATAATAATCCTTACACTTATATAGCGCTTTTCTGGACACTCCACTCATTCCCATTAGAGAATATAATGGGATAAGTTAGTGGAACCAAAGAACCATTCATTGTTGTCACCTTTTGTCTTTTGTCTTTTGTTTTTGCCTTAAATCTAAAAAACAGATGAACCCAAAACATGCTCAGGAGCTCTAGCTTACCTCAAGACAGATTCCACAAATACCCTCAGTGCCTTCACATGGATCCAAGCAGTAAATGCTTCGCTGAAATTTACCTTTAGCCATCTCAAAAGAGGACCCTGAAGATTTATTTATAAGCAAAAAACAAGCATTAAGGAGTTTTTAAAAAAGTTTTTTTATTTATGTAAACCACACATCAATGAAGAAAAAAAACGAATAATTTATATTATTTCCACATATTTTGTATATTTTGCTTACTAAACTACAGGCTGTACAGTATGTAAAGTATAAATGTTTTTAAAGATTTTTTCATTTCCATTTACTTAGTAAAGCAAATCCAATCAGCTCTGGTGTGCTAGCGTAGTTGTTTTCCTACCTTAGCTGTGAAAATCATATAGCTACACCCATTTTTATCGCCACGCTTTTAAGACTGAGCAGCTAACTCACAAATTGTTGTTTCTTGTCAGCTGCCAGCCGTGTCATTTCCTCTTTCTCAGCCTGCAGCTCGGTCTCATTGAAGCTGAACTCTCTAACTGTAAACCTGCAGAGGAAAGAGCATACGCAATGTGTTATGAGCCTCCCTTAGTGTTTGAGGGGAATTTTCGGATCTTATGACAGCCTTTCTTACTGAAGTGCCTCTCACGCTTACTTATTTTCCCTGGCTTTTATTCTGAAGTCGCTGACAGCCTTCTTGAACAAGGTTACGGTGAAAAGTCCTCCTTCAGAGTCCTCCATTATCTTTCTACAGAGGGAAAACTACCGTCAGAACAATCAGGTTTACATAAATACGCAGCATTCACTTAAGCATGAAGTATGATATCCTTAGAGTTTCATAAGAACTATTAGTTCTGATCACAAAGTAAAACAAGTCTGTATAATTCAATTGATTTTTTTGTCCTGCATTTACTGTAATAACAAGACCTAATCACAGAAACTGTCATTTTTATGTGAGACAAACTTTTAGTATCTAATATTTTTTCTAATATTCTTATGTCTAAAATTTGTCATTTTAGTAAAAAGTAGCACTTTAAAAGGATATTACATGATTATTGTAACATTCACAGTCTTTTAAATTACACCTTGTATACCCAAGAAGTTATTTAAGTAAGTTAAACTCTATTTCTTTACTGAAACACCATTTAATAAGGACAAAAATACAAGCTCTGACAAATAACAAATAAGTAACCCCTTTCCATACTTACTTTGTCGAACGAGGGACAACAAATTCAGACAGAGATTCATAGGTCTTTTGCCAAATGGAGTAATTTGCCCTACAATTGCAAACACATTAAAATGTTCCACATGACAATGTATTTCCTTTTGAATTATACAATAATGTACATTAGGAGTGAATTTGTTTAATCATTTTTTCTTTACATGCAGTTAACAGAAATAAGTAAAATGCACGAACTATTGAATAAAGATGAAAGAACAACGAAAATCATCTGAATTGTTTTGAACACCGAGTCCTGGTCCTGGAAAGCATTCAAGATGAACTTCTGGCAGGAAGTGTATAATGTAGACAAGTATGGGATTTAAAACATGTAGGTATTAAAAACATAAATGTTACATACAAAAAAGTAAGATAGAAGAGCCTCCTGAGATAGAAGAGGCTACTAAAGAAATAAAATTACAGTACCAAAAAATGTTTGTGAATCCCAGATATAATTATGGGAACACATTTTGTACTGTGATACACTTGTTTGTTCTAAATATATATTTTTTAAATTACCAAACAGTTTGTAATTTGTAAAATTAAATAATTTAAGTATTTTTACGGCTTTATTCGCAAACGTTTTCTCAGCACTGTTTATGCTGACACATCATTTACATTCTCTATTCAATGTGTGGAGGCAATACAAAGGGCAAACAAAATGTTATATAGTCAAAGACAGAGAATTTAAATATTGAGATGTGAAGTTAACATTGTATAATGGACTGCTAAGGTTTTAGAAAACTCTGTACAATTTTGGCCACCACATTATAGAAAATATATTACTGCTCTGGTTCAATCCAGAAAACAGCAACCAGATACATTATGGGACTTAAAGAATTTGCCATGCTGACAGACTGAATGAATTGAACCTGTTTAGTCTTAAACAGAGACTATGAGGGGACACAATGCAGGTATATCAAATGTGAACGTGAAACAGCCATGTTTGCAGAGTTGTGGGCAGTCAATCCAGTCATTTTGTTAATGCCTTCAAGAAAAAGCTAGATGAAATGTACCAATAAGCTACTAATCCTGGGCTAGATGGGACAAATGACCTCCCGTCTGTAACTTACCTTATCTTCTGAACCTAAATCCAGTTCTCTTATAGATCACTCTTTATGGGTCTAACACCCCGGAACAAAAAGTGTGGTGTGGTCCCAGAGGGCTGGTTTGCTTAAAAAAGGCTCACCTGCTTAGCTGAGCCCAAATAACTTTTCCAGACCCGAAAAAAATAATGACTTAATAATGACCAATAAAACTCGCTGGACTGGGGCTCTTCACACCCTCTTTGAAACATCGTCTAGTTTTAACAACGTTGAACTATCCTACAGCACAGGATTCATTATTACATTCGTTAGTACAACACTGTGCTTTTGAGTGTAGAATGGCTTGTTGCCAATGGATGAAACAAAGACCTTATCAGATACTGAGATCAGGGGCCTTAGATTATCTCGTAGGCCTTGCTGTGTTGGGTTACAGTGCAATTGCATGATGCAAATAAGAGAGAAAAACAGGGAAATGGGACAAAAGAGGAAAGAAAATTACACAATAAACACATTTTGTTGCAAGTAAAAATCCTTTCTTCATTTCTGTTTATTGAGCTACGTGGTAGGGCTTGCTGGTACAGCAAGTGTGTTACTGGTGCGAATTAAAAGATACCTATTTACACAATAAATTACTTACTTTGGAACAACCACCAGCAGAGTTGTCAGGTATTCAGAGTCCAGCACAAAATCATCCTTATTAACAATGTCTGTTAGAGTCCGGGTTAGAAGGTTCCCTCTAGAAAAAGGGTATAGTATTGGGTATCATATGGTATTTAATTGTTTAATCAGCAGCTTATAAGAGAAACTTTTTCATTTGGCTTTAAGAATATTACAATTTGCTATCTTTGTCTCTAAAAACACAATAAATTTCCAATATACATCAACGTTCCATAAGTCTTCAAACAAACATTATATTAATTGCCCCCAGCTGAGATGTGAACAGATTGCACTGCAGTTCTTGTGTCAATTATCAATTACATATGGAAAATGTCAATTAAATATGGTAAGACCATACCAGTTACCACATGCTCAAAAGTGAATGTTCAATGACAATCAACTGAAATAATGGCAAAGCGTTTCTCATAAAACTTTTATATAGCATTGATTTTGCCACCTATTTTTAAATAGAAAATTTCCTCCATTTTTTGTTTTATATTCTCACAAAAAAAAGAAGAGTTAAGATAGCAAATGTCTTTGATTGTAATGTGATAAATCTTAATTGTATTTATTTTATCTGTACTATAGTCTGTACTTAGCCATTAAATATTTGTAAAATATTTATACATCTTTATTTAAAAAATCTAATTGTGCGCACATTGTCACTTACAAGACCTGGACGACCCATTTATACAGCAAGGTGTTTACTGTAGCAATATGACTCACATCAGGGACAATTTTCCCAGAAGCCAATTAATCTGCTAGTATGTCTTTGGACAGTGAACACAAGGAGAACATATAAACTCCACACAGATAGCACTCCAGGTCCAGAATTGAACCAGGGTCCCACAGCTGCAAGACACTAATGCTAACTACTGTGCCACCATGCTACCCAAACACGAAACAGCAGAGTGTGTATTACAGATCCTGGGAGAAGGACTATGCAGTAAATGAGATGCTCACACCCAAGGGGCAAGTGGCAGAGGACAACTCACATGGCTTTCCGCTCCATGCCCTGCAGGCTCGCCTTCACATTGTTATATGCTATATTGCGGGACTTCAGTTCTGCCTCAATCTGGGAGATTTGCTGAAACCAGAGGAGAAAACAACATTTTATGTTTTATGTTTATGTACAGTAGTATTTTATTGAAGCTAACCCTCGATTCATTGGATTTCAAAGACATGCTGATGGCAGTCAAAACCATCTCGTCCTGAACTTGTTACATACAGTAAGTGAGTTAAAAACTGTTTTGGCAATGACTTTAGCATGAATATATTCAGAATCAAAATTCTAGAAAGCCTGCGCTCCTGTAAAAACAAAATCGCATAACTGTGATTAATCTATTAATAGTATGTTACGAATGCTGGAGTACATAGGAAGTTTACCCTTGATATGATTTCTGCCAGATTCTTCAGAGGCTGCTTTGTTGGGTATTTTGCCATATCCCATTGAAACTGTGTCAAATAGGTCACCAGGTCAACTACAACAGCACAAAATACAGCATATGTATAAACTGTCCCACGAGAAAATCACCACACCATTTCATAAACCACAGTAAAACGCTACAGACAAATCCAAGCAATTAACAGCTCACTGATGAGTTGCTCTAAAAACAAAACTTTTAACACTTTCCACAATTCTATCTTTTAGCAATCAGTATTAATTTAATTGACACGTTTCTGTCCTAGCATGGCTACTTAACTGTTTCTTCTGTGGTTGGTTTACCATCAGTGAAATGCACACAAAGTTTGTAGTGTTTATTAGCAAGCAGCACATGCAATGGCTGAGAGGCACAGACAAAGCCACTGGAGAAAGCTTAACTCAACAAAGAAATTCAATCAGCACTATGTTCACGTTTTCAACCCAAGTTTGCAAAGATCAAACGATGGCATCCTGGTTGCATGGATATCGTGATTAAGTTATGGGGTCAGTCATCAGTAATCCGCCATAACCTAATCACTGTATCCCCACATCCAGATTCATATTTGAAGAAACATACTTTCTTCACCTCATTCACATGCCTACACACAACTTAACCACGGCAAAAGCAAATACCCATTAAAGCTTGAAAGCAAGATTTCTTAGGTGTTTGAATTTTCTTGGAAGTCTTCTGCCCTAAGAAGGGAAAACGGTTTATTTGCAAAATCATTAGAAAGAAAGGGTTTGTTATGGAACTCCAGTTCAATTACAGCTCATACTTTCCAATGTCAGAAGATTTCTAACTAAGGGCAGGATCATCTTCAGGATAATAACACCCAGCTGATGTGGAACAAATTCCACACCTCCACTAACATGTATGAGGCCTTCATGTCTCTTTATCAACTTTACTGTATATGTACTGATCAAGCAAAAAAAACACAATTTAAATTGCAATCAGATAATGTTGTAAGGTACAAAACAAGGTGTAAATAGAAAAGCCTTCCTATTTACACCTTGATTTGGTAAGATTTGGTAAAATCACTGTGATTGAAAGGCAGTTTTTTCTTCTTGCATTAAGTCACATTTACACACTTGTTTATTTTGCCATGCTAATAAATGAAAGCCAGGTAGTGCTTTCAACTGTAGCCTGTTTGCAACTGCTTGTGTTAAGAAAAAGCAAGATCTTTTGTGTCTACATACTCAATATTGTCACACGAAGAGAACAGTCTGTGCTCCTGATGAACTAAAAATGTTTAGTTGTCGAAGTGTATACCCATGTGTGGTAGGCACACAGTAGCTGGACTGATCTCAGGGATGGAGCTGTAAAATGGTATTGAATTTTCTATTGTTCTGTTTTTCAGTATAGCTCTACTGTATAGCTGTTGTGGAGGCTCTTGTTATGTTGTGGCAGTAACAAGTGACCGTGTGTACAATATGTTCCCTGTGCTGGTGACTTTCAAGTGCTGCCTTGTGCAGGCAGAACATTTCCACTCCATTTTTCCGGAGCCCAGGAGTCGGAAATTATCATTATTGTTAAACGGCTTACACACTTATAACTTAACTTGTCAGGAACCCTGAATGATTTAAAAAGATTTGATTGTGTCCCAAAAATTAACATACTATAAGGTGGTTTTCAAAGATATATAAATGTAAACATGTGACTGTTACTGTACATCCAAGGTATATTTGTTCTTCCTGAAAGGACTGTACTGCATCTCTGTGGGTGACATTTAAATTTGGTCTGTGGTAGAGCAAACGTTAGAGAAGGAAAGCAAAACCACTTCACTATAGACCATCAACCCTACTTTACGTGTACTGATAAATTTATCCTGTTGCTGTTTTCTGTGTTGAGAATATATGCTTTTGTACTGTAAATGGCCACACAATTATATTGTTTGTGTCTGTGAATAGAGGTCACAAGTTCATGTCCTATGACATGGTTTGATTCTTTCAGGTACAGCAAGTCATTAGAGCCACTAAGATGGCAGGCCTTTGCCATGAATTAATGATAATCAATCTTTACATTAATAAATCATTTTTCAATCGTCCTCCAGAATTTTTGAAAAATGACATAATCATATTAAATCATTCGGGGATCATGACAGGCAAGTCAAGGGATTTAATATCCCTTTAAATCTCTCACACCTCAAACCTCACACCTGAAGAAGGCTCCACGGCCAAAACACGGCCCTTTCTTCTCTTTTCAGCGTGGAATAAATCCGTTACCTGTTCCTTTGCAGCCTACGCGTGCCGACCTACTTGAATTTCTTGGTATATACAGTATATACATATAAATATAATTACTATAAAAATATAATTTCAATTACTACAACTTATGGGAGATGGTTTATAACAGCACTTACCTCCATTGGCCAGCAGGTTTTCGTGTATTTTGTCTTTGGATTCTTCTATTACGTCAGACATGTAGTGGGCAAGTTTCTTTATAACACTGCAAAAATGACATGTTGTTTACTTACAGAGTTTGACTGAAAACACAACAAGGAACTTCTGATTTGTGCTTTGTTAAAATCCAGAACATCAGATCACTTTCAATACCAGCTTATCCAGTTCAGGGTCACGGTGGCCTGGAGCCTGTCCCAAGAATGACAGGGCACAGTCCATCGCAGGGCACACGCAAGCAAGAACACACGCACACTTACACTGGGGTCAGTTTCACAGAAGCCCATTAACCTACCAGTACTGTATGTCTTTGGACTGTGGGAGGAAACAGGAGCACCTGGTGGAAACTCATGTGAGCACTGGGAGAACATACAAACTCCACACAGACAGCGCCCCAGGAATAGAACCCAGGGCCCGCAGTGCTGACTACTGTGCCGCACAAAATCCAGAACAATTAATTGGAATTAAAAGCACAGTAGAACTTCGAAATACTCTAAAATGCCATGAGAATCCTCTCTGTTCCTGTTGACTCTTCTGTCAGTCTCATGTTGAGGTCAGAGGCTTTTTGGAAAGCTGTACATGTCATAAAGTGGTGGTTTGTAAAATGATAGCAATGGGTACGTTAAAGAGAATTTCCGATATTACTCACATTAATTGTGTTTGCGCCTGTAAGACAATTAATTGAACAGGGCCCAGCTGAAGACTTCTTAAGTACAGGATTATGTTTTGTGTCTTTACATTAATTTCGAGTACTATATGTGTGCTAATGGTAGACAGGCATCTTCTGACATTCAGAAGCATCCTTCACAAGAAAGGATGGTACTGTTTGTTTCTGCTGAATGTGAAAGATAGCTGCAATGATTTGCTCAGGTATCCTGCAGATGTATGAAAAGAATATCATACGATTAAAATATGTTTAAAGTTAAGATTAAACAGAAGCTTTATAAACTAGCACTGTAGAGCAATCTATTCAATAGTATGACACAATCAAATATCTGATTCAGGTAAATGGAGAAGACGGTGATGCATTCATTTGCAAGAATTATTGTATTTTTTGTATGGTCAGTAATAACTAAGTAATTAAAAAGGCAAACATTAGTTGAGGATACTGTATATAGTTAAAAGTGCTGATTTAATGTATGTTGTGTTAAAACTGAAAAATGCACTACTAAGACCTCAAAAGAAGACACTAGCATTCTGGACTCAGTCCAGAGAAGAGCAACTAGATACATTCTGAAGAATAAAGGAATTTCCCACACTGACGGACTAAAAGAGCTGAGCCTTTTAATCTTGAACAGAGGAGACTAAAAGGGAAACCAAGTCAAAGTATCCTAAATTCTCAAAGGCAGTGCAAGGTCAAATTAGCAGAATTAACAGTGAAACATGAACCGAAGGTCACAAGTGCAAGCTGGAGTGCCTTTAACTCAGAGAATAGGAGGCACTTCTTAATACCGAGAGTTGTGGAAGTAGGGAACAGCCTTGCGGTGGACGTCAGCTGTGTCATTTCTTTCAAGACACAGCTGTTATGAGAACCTAAGATGGGCTACCTACTTAAATGGGCTAGACAGATCAAATAGTCTCCTCTCAGTTGTTGCCCTCTCTTAACAAAACTTAAGACCATCCCATTGTTTCCAATAAGTCTAAGCTCTTCTTGTCAAAGGAAAAGCTTCATTTATGGTACCTTTAATTGAATACCACCTGGCCAGATGGCAGATTCCACTGCAGTAGAAAGTGTCTGCACTGTACATAGCCTTAATTAGGAAACTGACACCTTCATGGCTTAACTCCTTCCATGTTTCAAAGACTCAAGTACTTTGTGGTGAGTGAATTTAGATCTTACATGGAAAAACTGTCTGCAATCCCAGGACATAAATTTCTAATGAGAGCACTGCCATCCTACACTGTGGCTGTCAGGCCATGGGGGGGCTCTGCTGTCAGGTGGAAACAGGTGGTTGTCCTCAGGGAGTATGGGACAGCCCCTTCCTACACCAGTGAAAGCTTCAGAAATGTATTGGTTTTATCCCACTTTCTACACCCTTTTACATACAACAACATGCTGAAATTGTGTTTGAAATACCCTGATATAGTCTTTTTTCATAAATATTCCAGCAGATGCCTAGATTTCCAGACTAAACTGTAAAGTGCATTGGACAAATTGTAGGACAGACATTTGCTGCTGATGCTTCCCTCTTCACATTAGGAGAGATTTCACACATGTACAGGCATTACTAGCACAGAATTTATTAATGTGTAGTGTCACTGTGACCAGAAATTTAGTAAAACATTGTAACATATTTTACTTTAAAGCCTAAGAGATTAACCAGTATTTACTTTTACAATAGACAAAGACTATAGATTATAATAAAAGTTCAAAAACAGTTATAATGCTATCTAAAGCAAAATGTTTTACAAAGGTAGCAGAACCATCTGGTAGCTTTGGATGCTTGAAGAGCAGCACAAACAGTTGAGATGTTAGAATCATTATGTGAAGCCAGAATATTACCTAAGGCCAAGGATTTTAGGATTTGCTTGACAGAACTTGAATTATCAGTTCATAAGAGAACTCCTCCCTTCAATGCAGATTAAGGCACATGCCTCTTCTCATTATGAATACAAAACAGTAACAATAATTGCTTACACTTACAGTATATAGTACTTTTCTGGACACTCCAGTGAAAGCACTTTACAAGGTAATGGGGACTCCCCTCCACCACCACCAATGTGCAGCTCCACCTGGATGATGCAACAGCAGCCATAGTGCACCAGAACACTCACCACAGATCAGCTATCAGTGGGGAGGAGAACAGAGTGATGAAGCCAATTCATAGATGGGGATTATTAGGAGGCCATGATTCGTTAGGGCCAATGGGAAATTTTGAGCAGGACGCCAGGGTTACACACCTACTTCTTTCGAGAAACACCCTGGGATTTTTAATGACCACAGAGAGTCAGGACCTCCAAAGGACAGTGCCTGACTATAGTATAGTGTCCCCATCGCTATACTGGGGCATTAGGACCCACAAAGACAGCAGGGTGAGCACCCCCTACTGGCCCCACTAACAGCTCTTCCAGCAGCAACCTTAGTTTTTCCCAGGAGGTCTCCCATCCAGGTACTGACTAGACTCACACCTGCTTATCTTCAATGGGTTGCCAATTGTGAGTTGGAGGGTGATATGGCTGCTGGCTGCTGGCCATATTAGTGTTTAAATTGTGTGTCTGCATGTACACAGAGAAACCTCAAAAGCTCTCTGACCAGGTGTTATTGTTAGCAAAAAAACAAATTACATATTTCCAGGACTCTAAGGAGATGCTCACGTACCAAACATCAAGTATTGTACTGTACTGTATCTATACTGTACTGTATAAGATTCTATCATCGTACAAAGAAGTAATACTCTCCCATGTTTCTGTATGTGGGCACGATGTTTCACATAAAGCAAGAGCAGAGACACAGATATAACCTCAGTGCATGTCTACTGACACTCCGCAACAACATCCTACATCTATTTGCACCAGTTTTCCTTTGAAACTACATCTCCCCTGCCTAGTGCTTTATATATTGCTTTATTGTGATTTCTCAGCATGTTTGCTTCAAACTAAAATTGTAATTTTGATCTAACACTGTATGTCAATTATTTTGTATTGTCTGTACAGGACAATATAATAGCCTTTTTATGCGCTGTTTTGATATAATTGTGACAGGAACTACACAATAAAATCACATTTAAAACATGAATTATTCGCTTTATCTTTTTTTAATCTTAATCATTAAAGAAAGTGTTTATAGACAAAACGTTTTTTTTCTATGAAAAACTTTTCTCCTCTTTTTTCACCTTGAATCACCTTGAATCACACACGTGTATTACTGTTGTCATTATACTGTACGTGCTGCTGATGATTCAGACACTCTTTCAATTTAAGTGGGAATGTGAATAAATAACACTGACATGTCAAACACAGCATAAAAAACTTTTGCTTTTGAAAATGCTCTTCTCTGTTGCATTTGGAGTTTGCACATCACCTTTGTCTAACCTTATTTGCCTACCAAATAATGATGCCATGTAACAGGTTCTGGTGAACAGGTTTGAGCAAAAATATTTTACATTTTACTTTAAAATACCTTTTGGTGTATTGGTTATTGGGATACCTACAAGTAATATATTTTCCAAGTAAGATAAAATGGATAGTTACAAGAGTTCATCTAGAACTGATGATAAAGATAGCATTTTAACAGTGATGGCACATTCCATATTATTTTCCACATGTTCTGAAACCTAAATTATACTCTTTTGAATCTGTATACAAAGTGTTCATTATTTCAATCATTTTCTAATTTTATTCACTATTAACATATTAGGCTCATTTATTAAGACAGTATAGTTTCATATTCTCTGGTATGGGAATCAAAATATTGTGAAGCATTGATATCAATAGGTTCTTGATACTAATTGAATGTCACATTTACTATAATTAAGGTGAAAAGAGGATAAATGAGGGTATCTCAAATGACTCATTCAGGGCCCAGCAGTAAAGTGTACCACAAATTAATCCAAAGCAAATTAATTCAATTCATCACATGATTCAAGCTCTTACTTACAACCTCTCACTGCATCATGGCAGTATTACAGTAAACAGAGAAAACAGCATCGGGACTTTCTAATTATAAGATGTAAAGGAAAGGTTAATTCTATGATGAAAATATGAAAAATATCATTTTATATTTTCTTGCTACTTTTCAGGTTAAAATTAACCTTTACTTGTTTCATTGCAGCCAACATACACTGACAACACTCCTCGCTTAAACCTCATCATGAAATTAATCTTCATATTGTCATTGGCTGCACAGCAATCACTACTGTACCCCCAAAAACATTTTTCTATAAACGTGCACTTACATTTAGGGTCACGGTTACTATTAGAAATGGAGAAAAACAGGTAAGCAATGATGCCAGATCACTAGAGAAAAAAAACACTCTGAAGAATTTCTTATTAATGCCGGTAAAATAACGGAACCAGAATTAATTTGACCTGCACCTCTTCTGTCACAAGGAAATATTACAACTAAAATAGCAGGAAGGCAGGACCAACTATTTTGTCAACACTAATTCTTTGTTGAATTAAAAGAATAGGCAGGAAAAATCCTGCTGGCTCCTGCCTTAACCTCACAGAGCCCTGGTCCTTACTTGGCCAGATTGTTTCAGACTAGGAGAAAAGAACGAGACAACTGTTTATATTATAAACAGAACAGCTGATCCATCTGTAGGCAGTAAATAACAACTGCTTGTTATTACCCCTCCACATAGGTGTCCAGTTTCCCAAGTTCATCAGACAGCCCAATGAGAAGGTCTAAGGTTCCCACCTGTTGGAAAATAATAATGTTTAATGCATCTTTATTAGCCCTATACAATTTCTTGCATTAGGAATTCATCTTTTTGCATACCCCAGCTTTTCTCCATGGAGACACAGACAGGGAGAGAAGCTTGGGGTCAGAGCGCAGGGTCTGCCATTGTACAGCACCCCTGGAGCAGTTGGGGTTAAGGGACTTGCTCAGGGGCCCAACAGAGTAGGATTCCTCTGCCAGCTGCAGGATTTGAACCAGCAACCTTCCAGTCACAGGCATAGATCCTTAGCCACAGAGCCACCTCTCAGAATTAGAATTTTACTTTAGAGACAACAGTGTGTAAACTTTTATCGACATGTGATGAAGGCTAGTAGGCTCAAGAAACAGAACAAAGTGGGCCGAAGAGACAAAAGTAGAAATCAAAAACAGGTTGATTTGGAACAGAAAACCTCAGTCTCTTCTTTATATGCAGTAAGTAATTTTTGGTATTTAAACTGAGCTACCTAGTCACAGTGTTAAAACTGATCCCCTGTTCTCTGCCAATAACTACTAACTAATGATGGATACTTCTTTTATGGTTCTTTCCTAAATATATCCTTTATTCACAATTCTGAGATTGTACTCGAAATTAGTTACATAGCCCAGTTAAAAGTAGTAAAACTTTGAATTTGGAGTAAAAGTAAGCAGAGAAGGACAGCATGGTGGCACAATGGCTATCATTGCTGCCTCACAGCACTTGGGACCTGGGTTCAATTTGCTACTTGGGGTGCTGTCTGTGTGGAGTTTGTAAGTTCTCCCAATGTTCTTGTGGGGTTTTGCCAGGTGCTCTGGTTTCCTCCCACAGTCCAAATATATACTGGTAGGTCAATTGGCTTCTGGGAAAATTGACCCAGGTGTGTCTGTGTCTCTGTCTTCCATGTGACCCTGTATTTGATACTCAGAAAATAGACAGAGAAGCAAAATATCTCATATCTTTTCTGCGTGCAAAATTGATCCAGGTTAATAAACTTGTGATATTTTTTATTACAATGCAAACTAAAATTGAATGTATAGTAGTCTGCAAATCATATAATTGTGGCATTGTCTTTCTTGCACTAGGGGTGGAGTGGTGGCTCTGTGCCTGTGGTTGGAAGATTGCTGGTTCAAATCCCACAGCTAGCAGAGGAATCCTGCTCCATTAGGCTCCTGAGCAAGGCCCTTAACCCCAACTGCTCCAGGGGTGCTGTATAATGGCTGGCCTTGTGCTCTGATGTTATGTAAAAAGACAAATTCCTAATGCAAGAAATGTATATGGCCAATAATGTTATCTTATCTCTAGATTAATATTGGCTCAAGTAAGCTTTTAGTGCGGTTGTCTAGGGCATGAAACCTGCCTCCTCTGGCATTTGATAAAACAGGGCAATGCTTAACCTGAGTGCCCACAGCTTGTTAAGATCATGTTTCACCTTACAACCTTACAGGCTTTAGCTTGATGGCTGGCAAATTTACAAATGAAGCTGTTTAAGAAAGTGAAAGGTCCAAAAACACATTTTCAAAAGATTATAGGGTAAGTATAAATGGAAAAAAAAGCTTTTAAATAGTAATTAAAAAATGGTTGTACCTTCAGATCTGGGATTGTGAATTTGAAATTATTGGATAAGTTAGCTTTTGTTGTCACAGCTTGCATTCTCTCCAGAGATTTCTGGCTTGTTTTGTCAAGGGGAACTGAAATTAACCAGAATTCAGCCATTTCTGGCCCTGAGAGCGATGCTCTGACACCTTTATCAATATGATTTCTAGGATCTAAAGGAATAAAAAACACATTACAGTTTTAGTGTTATATACTGCACACCATTTAAGTAAATCAATATGCAAATGTAGGTCTTTCTGATTTTGCTTGCCCTGTTTACCTCCAAAACCTCTTCTATAGAAACTCTCTACAGAAAAAATAAAGTATGTTATCTTACTTCCCTAGATTTTGATAAACCTACCAGATTTATTATATTAAGGCTGTCCATAAGAAAAAATAGTAATAATTGGCTGAAAATAAGTAAATTATATCTACTTATCATACCTGTCGCTATAGAAAGCAATAACCCAGTGTTAATAGAAACCTATTCGAAAAATCGAATAACAGGTGATGTCATGGAACTCTATGATTTCACGAGTCTGTTGTAAAGTAATAAGGGAACGGAATACCTGCCTACATTAGTCAGATAGAGTCTCTACCTAAAATATTTTCCACGCTAAGGAAATATGATCTCTTCTAGTTTAAAAATTTAAAATGTATTTTCTGATATTGGCTTCTTAAAAACATCTTATCGACAACTACGTTATTATGCTACATTAATACCTTAACGCCTACTTTATTTTTTGAAATAAAAATAAATTAAAAACACTTGTACACTTACCTTTACATGCAGTGTTCTACCTTCATGTTTTAATACTGTCCACGAGAAACACGGTTTAGGAAAATGTTTTAAAAAATGCAAAGTAAACGAAATTAAGCCTGAAGTGTTCGTCAGTCGTAAACTGTAATTCAGTACTAAGCATTTAAAACCACACACTGTCTTGTCTTCCTCTGCCCCGCTGACACTGAACCAGGTAAGGAGAAGCCAGCCTTTTCTAGCGACGGAATAGTGTAAGATGACTATTATTACATCACCCAGCTGTAGGTTAGAACATTATGGTATTTGCATATTCCCTGTGTTGGTGATGAAAACACATCTAGCGCATTCTTTTTTTTCAGAAACATTTATTTAAAATAGAAGTAGCGTTAACATTGTAAAAGATACAATTCTATGCATTTTGATACCCTTCTGTTTCAAATTATCTGAATTTCATTCCTTTGTCCTAATGTAGACGAGGTCATCCCAAATAAATAATATCTCTATATCTTTGCGTCTATGAACAAAATACATACACCTGTAATACTCACAATATTCTTTTAATACGGTATGAATGAATCAAATGGTTTATTCACCACTATTACATAATCATTACAAAGTGTTCACTGGACATCATAGTTTTAGACATAGAAAAGTTTAATGTTTAAATAGCTGACAGTAAGTTTATAATAGGAAATGTTACACATATTGTAATTTAAAAAGGCACATAAGTTACCAGCAAGACTCCTATGGAAAAAATAACACCACTTAATACGTAGTGAAGAATCAAACTGATGAGTTATTTCCTTAAGGAAAGGGATCTGATCAGTAGTACGAGTCTACCACCAATAAAAAAGCAGCTTGGACATTGCCTGTCCAACAGTACACATTATGGATGCTGATGTTGGAAGACGGGGCTCAAAAGAGTTCCGTTTTATGATTTATATAGCACTACACCTGTGTGGGCGCACTGCTGTTCTTCTTACTGACATACAGTATTGAAGGTATGTTCCGTTTAAACAAACCTATCGATCAATCTGTTCTTTGGGTTTGTGTTTTAGACAGTGATCACCCTTTCACGTTGTATGTAAACTGATTGCCTATGCATCCACCTAAGGTGGAGAATCGTATCTTCTGACCTAACAACAGTGGGTTTCAGTGAGTTGATTACACTACGTGTCACGATCGAAGCCCTGTCCTTGTGGGGTGACTTGTTCCCAGAGACGTGTGCTGGCAGCAAGTCCATCCCCACCGCAGCGGTCCACCTGCTCCTCCCAATTCACGTCCGCTTTCGCTTACTTCTGCATCTGGGCTTCCATAAACAGACCCCACACCCTCTACCACCACACTAGCAAGGGTGTCAAAGGCAATTTATTGAACTCCACTGTTTCCCCCCAAACAAATAAAAAACGTAACATAAACATCAGGTTCGTCATTAAACAATGGAGATTTTACTCGACTTGTTATGGACTTGCATGTTATCTGATGTATGTGCACGGCTTTTTAATGATTAAAATACATTTTCTTAAATATATTTATGTGTTTTTTGTTGTTTGCCACGAAATCAAATAACGTCGCTTCAGTTACTGATATCACATACAATATTCCTACCTTTAAAGGAAATGTACGTGTTACGGGATTCTCATGATCGCGTAATTAAACCTCACTTGCATCCCATTAAAACTATTGCATGTACACGTCACAGCACATAATGTAAAGTTATTTTACATAAGAAAAATCAATGTTGCAAAGTTTTTATTAGCCACTGTAAATGTATACAGAAGGCACTCGTATTCTCACATGCAAATCATACACAGAATTTTAGTTACAGAAGAACGACCTCTTCCCCCACCCTCCTGACACATGAGTGTGCCAAAGACTCGCCTGGTGTTTCTTCACGGACCGGTTAATAAACGTACACGCTTCCTGTTGTCACCAGGATTAGTGCCGACTGGGAAGTGTGTGTATACTCTGAGTGTGAAACAACGTGGGCACCATATTTCTGCGAACATACATGATTTACAGTCTTCACTCTGTATCCGACTTTATTAATGAGCTGTTCGACTGATATTAGAAAGGATGCAGATTTCCAGCGTAAATGACGTGAAGATATATAACTTAAGCTGTGGAAAGTCGTTGCCTGAGGTAAATCGACCAAACGTAGTATTGTATCTTTGTAGCTACACACAAGATATCATGTAATTAAGCTATACGTGTGTAGAGAAATTATTGTATAATACGGAAAGCCTTGATTTATATCTTTAAAATTAAATTTGAATTAAGAACCCCAGCCTGTAAACTGGTAATTGGCATTTTGTTACGCCTGTGTTGTTTCGGGATTTTAATAGTGACGTTGTGTCCAGTTGCTTTTTTTCGACATTCTGCATTAATACGTTTTGATGAAGGTTCTTGGTACGTAAGACACTGATGTAGAAATGATAACCGTGCCTCATTACTTAGGTAATTTCCAGTGTTGGTTCTGTGATGCGAATCAAAATGTCACTCGTTAAGTGACCCATATATATATACTTCTTTGCACAGTGGCTCTCGGACCGAAAGAAAAGGGCATTACAGAAGAAGGATGTCGGTGAGTATATTCATTTTTAAGTTGCTTAGACATTGGTGATTGATATTGTGAGTTATTTTATATAGAGTTACCTGGCCAGTAGCATGCTAAATAGCACTTTAATGTGTGGAACGGTACGCTTGGAGCATTTGTTAAAATAATATAGGTGATGTAGAATAGATTAACTTTAAGCTTAAGTGATCATCATGATAAATCGGCAATACAAAAAGATTTTCCAGTACAACAGCAGCCTTTTAGCACTATGGATGTGTAGAGAGGAGTAATGGGTTTCATTAGTTCATTCATTAGTTCATCAACACTTTCATTAGTGTTGATTATTAAATGAGTTGGTTTAGCTGCTACCACACTTCAAGTTGGCTGCTCAAGTATGGTTAGTTTTTTATCGGTTGAATTGTTTGAAGACTGATCAATACCAATTCTTGATTGTTAAATGTCAGGTACTGTATGCTTTCATGTAACACAAACTAAGCAGTATAAATAATAAGTTGTTATAGAACTATAGTGGGGAAGCTAGCACATAAAGCACTTGATGATAAAATGGGTTCCCTATGACATATAAGGTGCTTTGGGATCCTTTGGAATGTAAAGCGCTATATACACAAAATGCAAAGAATTATTATTACTATACTAGAAGACTAGTGTGGGCTTTAACTAAATTCTTTATTCTGTAATATATAACTCCTTATTCTATCTAAGATATCCAAGACATTTGCACAGTGCTTATAGGAAGTACGACAAGTGAACAGTGAATAGTTGGGATGAATTCTGACATGCTGTACAAGAACAACTAAATTTAATTGTCTCCAAATTTATGTCATGTATTAGAACCCACAATATTTCTGTGAATGAGTATTTCTCCAGGGAAATTGGAAGAGAAATCAGGACTGGTATCACTGTGATTTTAATACTGTTCATAATACATACATAAATGACATTTTAAGGTACAGTCAAGAAAGCATATACAGTAAATGGCGACATACAGTTTGCAAGTAGGGGAACAGTTTTGAAGTATTGAGGTATAATATTAGTTGAGGTATAAAATCTTTCTTTGTATTTAGAATTCTAAAATAGAGGAATCTAAAAAACGTCTCTCTTTTTCAGACATACGAAGGAGAATTGAGCTCATTCAGGATTTTGACATGCCCACAGTCAGTACGTCCATTAAAGTGTCACGCGATGGACAGTATATCCTTGCAGCTGGTGAGTGACGTGTAGTGTTTTCGAGCACATACAGGCAATACATCCTTTGAGACTGCTTTCCAGTTCATTTATCTGCAATATCTTCAGATTATTATACTTTAAATATAGAATGAATTCAGCGTATTAGAGATGCTGGGCTTGTGGAACCTAAAGAAAGAGATCTCTGTATTACTTAATTGTTTTCCTTTTGGTTTCAGACTAATCATTTTAGTCAACCACTTCATTAGTATCTGAATATTTTGTTAATATTAACTATCACAAATAAACACTTATCCAGTAAGTAAACAAGCAGACAATAAATTTACCTCATGTATAATTAGATCTCAGTTTTTATAGTAGTGTTAACTTCCAAAAAGTGTGTTAATTAATTACTTTTTTCTTGCTGGAATGTCACACCACATCCCCACAATACTTAACATCTCTCATGACTTCCTATGTACCAAGCAGGGTCTTACACTCTGCGGAGGCACGTCTTTTAGTACCTTCTTTAGGTATAAACGTCCTGGGGCACGCACTTTTTTTTTTAAAACAGAGCTCCACTCCTGAAGGGTTAGAAGGTTTCTGAATTCCCATTCTCCTCTGCCATAATTACTTAATTGAACTCATTATGTGCTTAATTAAAGCATTTCCTTTTTTTAATTTAATAATTCCCTTGTTCTTAAACTGGATATTTAGAGACTGCTATAAAATCTCCAGTGGTCCTTTAGTATGTTTGTCTCCCCTGCCTTGTAACAGGCAACAAAATAAAGCAAAAGCTGTTCATCTGATTGTAATGAATAATCAGTAATTAACTCATCTGTACGAAATATTTAAAGGACTTGTTTAATTTTTGTGTGAATCTATAATTGTTTCGGAAGCAATTTTTCCTTTTGTAAGTTTTTACAGATTTAAAGCTGTAAACACAGGATGGAAGTTAGGAGCTGCATCCTAAATGATTTTAGTTGGCTTTTGCTCTACATATGGTAGAAGCATGATGTTTCAATCACACTGTTTTACAGGCACCTATAAGCCCCGGATTCGCTGTTATGATACTTACCAGTTGTCTTTGAAGTTTGAAAGATGCCTCGACTCCGATGGTAAGCAGAAGCTTTATTTCGTTGGTTGCAATTTTTCCATTCGTGAAGCTCTTAACCATGAGTGTGTAACTGATGTGTGACAGTAAGTGTTGGTGATTTTAAATATCTTTTGGAAACTGCCTTCTCACCCTTTCTTTTCTTCTTATATTGCCCACACAATCTTTAATCTTCCCAATTACCACAGATACATTAAATCTTGTAACTCAGTTCATAGGAAAGGTCGGTGGCACAATCATGGTTCTATAATTATACTGAACCATCATTTGGTGATGAAGATGCAGGTAGTACATGGGCAAGCATACAGGAAATGTGCAGTCACAGCACTCTCGGTCATATGGTAAGCAGATACTTTTCACACAAGGCTGATATCAAGTTCAGGTTTGCCACGCACTGGTGAGGTTGTGTATTGACCTCTGTAATGAAAGCCCATTGCAATAAAGAAGTAATACGATGATTAAAATTTAATTATGGTGCTGTTTCCCCTCTAGTACATTGATCAAATAACACAACAAATAAATTGTGATAGGCATGAAAAGATGTTGTCAGCAGTTGGGGACACTATAGACAATTCACTCCCAAGATCTTTCTGCTGTTTTTTTTTTCTCTTTAATATTTGCTCCACGCCTAATGCACTGAGAAAATGAAAATGTCCAAAGTTAGTGTGGTATGATATTGATACATTTTTTATATTCAAATTAAGATGTAACATCACATATTGCTGTGATTGACTCGACAGTAACCCAGCAGAACCTGCTCAATAAAATGTAAATATGTGTACTATAAGTAGAAATATAAACTTTTCAGTCCTATTATTTCCCTGACAGCCTATTCCAAACTGGGTGGAATGCAGGGTGGGTGCTGGGTGCAGGGTGATATGGCTGCTAGTGTTACGTTTGGATCCTCAGCCCTTAAACCACCTAAAATAGCACTAGTGCTAATAATTATTATTACTCCTTACACTTACATAGTGTGTTACAGGTAATAGGGACTCCCCTCCACCACCACCAATGTGCAGCTCCACCTGGATGATGCAACAGCAGCCATAGTGCGCCAGAACGTTCACCACACATCAGCTATCAGTGGGGAGGAGAGTGATGAAGCCAATTCATAGATGAGGGTTATTAGGAGGCCATGATTGGTAAAGGCCAATACATCCCTATTATTTTTGAGAAACGCCCTGGGATTTATAATGACCACAGATGGTTAGAACCTCAGTTTTACACCTCATCTGAAGGACAGCGCTTTTTTTACAGTATAATGTCACTATACTGGGGCATTAGGACCCACAGGAACCGCAGGGAGAGCATGTCTCCCGAGAGCGCCCGAGAGAGGCCCCACTCACCCCTCTTCCAGCAGCAACCTCAGTTTTCCCTAGGAGGTCTCCCATCCAGGTACTGACCAGGCTCATGCCTGCTTAGCTTCAGTGGGTTGCCAGTTGTGAGTTGCAGGGTGATATGGCTGCAAGCACAATGAATTGACAGTGTGCCATAAATGAAACACTTGTAAATTATTTGTAAATGTTTTCTGGGCCTCCTGAGTGGCTCTACAGGTAAAAGCTGTCACCCGAGCACAGGCACGACACGTCCCCAGGGTTTCCCAGGCCAGTAGGAAGGGATTAGTCTGTCAGTGCTGTCTCACCTCTGTGGCCTCCTGGGTGCTTTGGTCCTGATATACTCATGGGACACATGTGTCCTGCAGTCGGGGCAGAACATCCAGGGGGCCTGTGGGCTGTGCGGTTATTGGATTCCAGTCATGAGCTGAGAGGTGAAGGACACACAATTGTCTATTCCAGACTGGGTTACTTATAGCTGTAACAAATAAAATGTACAATAATAAGTCTTTTTTTTTAAATATTTTCAGGTTGATGGAAAGGATACAAAGTGAAACGGGCCTTGTCTTGACAATAACACTTTCAGATTTGACTTGTAGTTTAATTTGGTCTAAATCGAAGAAGTGCAGTCTTCCGGACACTAAACAGCCTCGTTTCTCCTTACAGTTGTAGCCTTTGACATCCTGTCCGATGACTACTCCAAGGTACGTGTCTTTGCAAAGCACTCTTTGCCCTTGAAAGAGCATTATCAAATTAAAAACAAGTTTGGTATAATTCCATCCTAAAATGTCGAAGAAATTTAATATGGATTAAAAATTGATTATCAGTTGAGTTTTGGAAACTAGAAAAGATTGTGTACCCCAAATATAATTATGGAAATTAGTAAATTGACATGTATTCATATGAGGAAATAATTTTAATATGATTTAAATAATTCTAATATTATGTTTTGTGTAACACATTTAATCAGATTATATTAATCTTTTATTGGATTTTCACGAAGCTCTTATTAAATTTTAGGTTTACAATATATGAGAATACAGACAAAATAATTCTCATACTGTATATTGTAGACCGAGGTAGACCACAGACTTTTTCCTGACATTGTCTTACATTTATGGGAAGGTATTTTTTGTCATGTATTGAAAACCCTGTTTTAAATGTATTTTTCTTTCGTCAATATAGCAATCCCGAGCAAAAAATGTAGCTGTATATATGTGAAAATAATTTTCAGATCAACATCATTCTTATGTCATTAATGCCTACTGTATCACATTACTAAGATTGTGTTTGTCATGAGAGAACTGCATGCACACTAGTTACATTACAAATGTTTGCACATATAGATGATGCAGTTATTGCTCAAAAGAATAAACGAGCCAGAATCCCTGTTAATTGCTTACACCAGAGCATCTACCTTCAATCATATTATAATAATTTTGTAATTCAGTTGCTTAACTTAACAATTTTAAATTGGTAATGAAATCTGACAGGAAAAATATGAATTATTTTGTTTTTGTTTAGCTTGTCTTCTTGCATTGCGACCGCTATGTAGAATTTCATTCTCAAAATGGCTATTACTACAAGACGAGAATACCAAAGTTTGGCAGAGACTTCTCGTATCACAGTCCATCCTGTGACTTGTACTTTGTTGGAGCAAGGTAAGGACACTGACTGTGGTGATTACGTGCACTGAAAATGTAATACATTTAAACACACTTGCATGCCAAAGGTAGTTGGAATTAGATGGCCTTTCAAGAGATGAAACTACTGTAAAGTTAACACAACTTTCACTGTTACATGTCCTGTGTGTTTTTGTTGTCCCAAAACAGAATTTTGAAATACAGTGGTATAAAGATGCAATATAGTTGTTTGAATAGCTGATGCTCATTTAATTGAAAGTCAAGAAGTGTCCTTTTTAAGAGATTTTGTAATTTTATTTTCTAGCTCAGAGGTGTACAGATTGAATTTAGAACAGGGGAGATTTCTGAATTCATTACAAACAGATGCAGTGTAAGTACCTTTTTTGGAATATGTCTACAAATCTAACTGTGTTATTAGGATGCTAGTGCTATGTCAACTTTCATTCTCCAAAACAAATTAAAATCCTAAAAAATCCCAACTGTACTTAATGCTTTTCTCTTGAACCCTGTTTTATTATTACCTAATTTAGATTTTTTTTAATTTTCATACAAGCGATAAAAACCAAAATCTTAAGAAATCCTTATTGCTGAGCAGTTTGTACATTTCATTCTCAGGCACGGTGCCTATAGTAAGTCTGCGCACCCTTTCCAAAGTACACATTTGGTCGCTTAACCAATACCTGAAACCAATATCAGAATTTATTTTGCCTTTATTTATACAGTGTAATACACAACATCAAAGTCAAAAACAAATGCTCAAACATTCTGCAAAGTTATTACAAATGAAAACTTTAAAAAATAGGTGTACACACCCTTGAGTTAGTACTTGGTGGAAGCTCCTTTTGCCTCCACTGTAGTAATAGTAGTAGTAATAATGAGGTCTCCCCTTTGCCACCACCAATGTGGAGGACAAAAGAGTGATGAATTACAAAATGATAATGAAGTTACCTGTCACGTCTGTTCAGTGTCAGTGAACCTGCCACTAAAATAGTTTGTTGTTTTCCTGATATGGTTGTGAATTAGTTACCATTGCAAGTGATCATTTTCATTGATGTTCAGTATATATGCTTTGTAGGAAATAAACCTTCCATGAAGGAACAATTTAATGTTTTCCCTTTGTTATTTCTGTTTACAGAGAGAACAATGTGTGTGATATTAATCCTGTCCATTACCTGTTTGCTACTGGAACAGCAGAGGTACAACAGGACTTCACTAATAAGGCTGTGCATTCCTGCTTTTTTTATATATAATCGGTCCATCTTCATTCAATACTGGTTTATTCACCTGCAGTCCCTAAATCATGCAAATTAAGCACTCAATTGATATTGATATGATAACATTAACATGTAATTGAAACATGACTTTTAGTACAGCTATATGAATATCGTACATGAATAAATGTGTAATGTTTTTTGAGAGTTCAGTCCCCTGGTTTACTGTGAACTTGGTATTCACCCTCCTATTTACATGTATTCTTATAAGAAAATTAGTTTTTAATTGATATATTTTTGAGTTATGCAGCAGTTTCCCATAAATTCTTCTTGCTTTGTAAATCAAGAACTACCTGTATTCATCTTGTAATGTTTAATGTCGATGTCTCTGTAGGGGAATGTTGAATGCTGGGATCCACGGACAAGGAATCGAGTGGGCTTACTAGACTGTGCTTTAAGTAGTGTCACAGAAAATACGCAGTAAGTGATGCAAGAAAACATAACTGGTTGCTGTTGGGTAGGTTTAATTCCAACCATTTAAAAGCTTTATTAATAACTCAAGTGCGGTGGTGCCACGAGACCAGTGGCTACCTGTCAGTATAACCTGTCCCACTGTCTTTAACAAAAGATAAGTAAAATGTTTAATGCACCTGACAATATCTGCTACAACAAAGATTCACTAAAGAGCTGCCTAAATTTATAGCTTGTCATAAATCATTTTTTTTAATTCATAAAAAATATGGTTTTCTTTAAAGAATTGTATCTGGAACCTGTTGAGTGAGTAAACACTGTTTGCTTTGTTATTTCCATTTGTTGTTAATTAAACAACTGAAATGCTTGTTTGTTCTTGAAACTTGAGTATTAAAAAAAACTGCTGTCATCTGTTCTAGCTGAAGTCAAAGTTAATTCCTCCTTATATAACACACTTGAAAAGGACTCGACAACTGAAAAGTTGTTGTTTCTTAAGTCTATTTTTCAACATGGAATTAACCTCTGCTTGGTACATACATGCAGCTTGCACACTGACACAGCTTCCCATACACATCTCTTAATGTTATAGCCTGCTCTCATTAAAATCTTAATCAGATAAATTGTGACTTGCATTCAATGTGTTCCACTCATGATGTCCAAAATCATCCACTACAGTTGAGTGAGTAGGAAGATAAACCGAGAATAAATTATCCAAATCATAATCTACAGTTTTGTACTGTGTGCTGTTTTTAAAGCAAGATTGGTGTTGTCGTGTCTTGCAACAGCAAATTCCTTCCACATAATTAAAAAATAATTTGTTGTAATTGGAGCAATAGTGCTGATCTTTAGAAATATTTTAATAATAATAATAAACTTTATTTTATACAACACCTTTAAAGGTGGCTTCTCAAAGTGTAGATGGGTTTGGAGGACAGATAGGAGACCAGAATTAGAAGAGTGAAGGTTGTGAGGTGGGGAGTAGGACGATAATAGTTCAGACAGGAACTGAGGTGTCAAGCCGTGCAGAGTCTTATAGGTGAACATGAGGAATTTGAAGTCAACACAAAACTTGACAGGAAGCCAGTGCATTGACTCCAGGATACGAGAAATGTGATCACTTGAACTAGACTTGGTCAGGATACTGGCTGCCAAATTTTGGACATACTGCAGTTTGTTCAATGTGGATTTAGAAACCCCAGCAGGTACAGCATTACAGTAGTCAATTTGGGAGAAGACAAATGTGTTGATCAGCTTTTCACCCACAGTTAGTGATAACTATAGCGATATTTCTAAGGTGAAAGAAAGATGTTTTGACAATATGCTGCATATGTGGATCAAATATCAAGCCTGAATCAAATATCACCCCCAGGGTTTTCAATTTAGACTTAAGCTCGAGTACAGTACAGAAATTTTAATTATCAATTGTCTTAGGCCTAAAATAGATAATCTCATCTGTGATGTAAGATGATGAAAAAAATCTGTTTTAACCAAGTGATTTGCCAAATTAAGTAATTTGAAATGAAATAACAACATCCAGAATATCATTGTGTTATTTCTACAAAACTAGAGGCCAGTCCCTTCCTTAGAAGTAGGAGAGTAGCTGTGTTTCTCTGCTGTGTTATCACGAAGTGGCTGTCATAAACTGTCTTTCCATCGCAGGGTGGAAGGTTTGCCATCAGTGTCTGCCCTGAAATTCAAAGGGGCACTGCATATGGCAGTAGGAACAAGTACAGGCCAGGTAAGTGCTTGAGCTTTTATGAACTTTTATGAAGACACCAATCTGTATCTGAAAAGGCAATGTAAATTATTGTCTAATTGTGATGTTCTAATTGTGAATCAGTTTAGTATAAACAAAATCATAAGCTTATTCAGCCAAAAACATGATCAAATAGTTTTTACTTTACATGTCTTCTCTCCAAGTTAAAGTAGTATAAGAATGAAGGCATAGTTCTGTTGAGATATTTGGATCTAAATTTTTCTGTTTTCATTTTACTTTGGGTTTTCTTGTAAAAAACAGATTTGTAAAAAAAAGTATAATAAAGAAGTATAATTTTCCTTGTTATACAGTTTTTGTAGGGAAAAAAAAGATAACGTGGTGCTCTCATGCTTGCTAGATGACTGTCTTATCAGTTCCTGTTGTGTACAGTATGTGTTCAAGCAAATAGAGTCTCTAATCCCACAGCACAATTTATTTGCTCAGGACTTTTTTCACCAGTTACGTTTCTTATAAGGTGACATACCTTCATTTGCTGTATTTTGTTTGCAAGAAAAACTCAAACACATCTGCTAGTTAAAAAAATATGGTTCCACGGTAAGTCTCAGTTACTGAATGTTGTCTCTTCAGTCACTTCAACAGAGTTATAGACTGATCACTGAACTTTGAGCCCATTCAACTCACATTTAGTTTCTGCTTCCCAGTTCCTTGCAGTCTAGTTTGGAGTGTGTTTTTTAGTATACTTATTTAAATATATTAGCTGAAGAGGTCCCAACAATTTTTTTGAATTTTTCAGAATGAGGATGATTGCAGTTGACGGTATTCTAACAAATACAATGTTTAAAATAATAATGTTCAATAATAAAACTTCCTAAAACTAGAAGTCAAACAAGACTGTTTGCTAAACCTAAATCTGAAGCCTTTTTTATTATATTGTATTTATTATTTTAAAGATAATGATTCTAGGAGATTGAATATGGCCGAGAATGCTTTCTATTTTTGCTTTCCGTTATAAGCCTGTTTTCAGCTGTGGTCAGATCATTTATAGGTATCCTCTCAGTGGAGAAGAACAGATAATAAAAACTGCTTTAAACATTTTTTGTTTCTCATCAAGGTTTTGATGTACGATCTCCGCTCCAGTCGCCCACTTATTGTAAAGGATCATTATTATGGGCTCCCGATCAAAGCCATTCAGTTTCAGGACCAATTAGATTTGGTTTTGTCTGCAGATTCCAAGATTATCAAGATGTGGAACACAGATACGGTGGGTTGAGTTAGGTTCATCTCTAGATGTTTGCTTCAGACATTCTTCTTACTGTTGTACAGGCAGAAACACAATCTGATATGTGCTCAGTAGCATTATCTGATGCAGAACAGTTTTTAAGCATCAGTAAAAGCCTTTAAAACATGTAAACTAAAAAATTAAAAATAGCACGTAGAAGAATAAAGAGTGTTCAATTTTCTCTGCATCCCAGAACAAAAAATGGGTCTGGTTATGTTAAAGAGTCTCTATACTTCATGAGTAACAGACTGGAAAACAAACAAATTTGAAATGTTTTCTGAATAAAGTGTCGTTCTCAGCTGAATGAATAGTGGGATTATTGAATATAAAATAAATTAAATTTCAGTTGCCAATTTCAGTCACTGACATGATGCACCTGTTACAAAGAACATAATTTTGAAATTATTTTAAAGTTGTTGATAGACTGCAGAGCCTTCAGAATAATATTCCCTGCGCTTACTAAATGTGGCATTATAGCTTGTCAAAATCTGAAATAAAATATTTTTGTTTAAGAGATCATCTAATAATGTAATAAATAATAACATCATATTACCTAAAAAATTATTATCATCATATTTTTAGATAGGGAAACATTGTGTGTTAAATTTTGAAATAAAACAGTTAGTTTTACTGCCTTGTTTGAAACTGTATACTTGGGAATCAAGTTTGGGAGGAACAATCTGGCTAACTGAGTACAAGCATGGTGTCAGGCTTTCATGGAAAAAACACTGAAAGGTCTGACGGTATGCATGATTTTGTTTATTTTCAGGGAAAAGTATTTGCCTCAATAGAACCACAGCATGACATCAATGATATCTGTTTGTATCCCAATTCTGGTAAGTATCACACACAATGTGTCAAGGACACCCATTGGTATGATACATGTTTCCCTTTATTGAGATTCTTTAACACTATGTTAATATTATTTTTCTGAATATTTTATTGTGTATTTATAATGCCAGTGACAAAAAATTCTTCTCCCACATTTGAATGAAAAAAAGCCTCTGATGAGGCCTTTTTTCAGTAATGCAGTGGGCCTGTTCTGGCATCGTGAGGCTGAAGAAGTTAATTGAAAGACAACCTAACTCAAAGCCTGACTGCAAGGGGACTGTGGTCTGGCATGTAAGACCATATCCTCTTACCCTGTTACTTGAGCCTGTGCATCTGTTTAAACAGTGTAGATTTTCACACTGCTCGCTTGCATAAAAAATATAACTTTGTGAGAGGAACATTAGCTTAAACTGTACTTTATCCCTCTGAGATCTGTCAAGAGATTTTATTTGAGGGTCAGATTTTCATAGCACCTTTGCTTGCATGTCATAAAGGGTTTGGCCTTTAGTAACTGTTTAAACTTGAACTTTTTTTAGGTTAGTAACTAGTACTTGATTCACGTTTACTTTCTGTAAATGTGGGAGACACAGTGGTGCAGTGGTTAGCAATGCTGCCTCGCAGCACTGCGGCCTCGACTTCAGTTGTGGACCAGCAGTCTGTCTGAATGGAGTTTCTAAATTCTCCCGTATGGGTTTTCTCAAGGGGCTCCAGTTCCCTCCCACAGTATAAAACATCCTGGTAGGATAATTTTCTTCTGGGGAAACTTGCCCTGGAAATGGAGTGTGTTTGCCCTGCAGTGGACTGGCATCCTGTCCAGGGCTCCCCAGCAAAACTGAATTGGAAAAAATGGTTAGAAGAAGGCTGGATGTATTATTCCTTTCAATGTGCCTGAACTGCTTCTTTAAAACATTTGAAAAACCAAACCATTACTGTTGATTCTCTGCTGTAACTTTCTTCGTCTTCTCCCGTGGAGGAAGAACCTTACACTTTACACACAGTGTATATTGAGATTCTTCCATTCAAACAGCAGGTGGCAGCACCTGCTAATCTTTGGCTAATCCGGGAAAAAAGTTATCTTCCTTAATGAGAGTTACGGAGTACAACAGCAGCACCCCTTGTGGAATTTGTTACAAATCCAGTTAAATGTCTAGAGCACTGACCACTACTCCTCACTGCTGCCTACTTTAGTTCAATTACAATAAAGTAAATAGCAGCTTGTTCACCTGAGCTTTTTGTTTGTAATGAGAGAGAGAACATTTTTAAAATCCATTGTTCAAATCTGGTAGTTTTGCTTTTTTAAAACCCACCATCCATCTCTGGAATTTATTCTAGTATTAGGAACATTAGTTTCCTTGTTCAAGGTTGTGAAAATAGAATAGACTTAACAATAATGCTTTTTTTGTTACAGGTATGCTTTTTACGGCTAATGAGGATCCCAAAATGAATACATTTTACATTCCCGTAAGATTTTATAAGTTCATATTATAATATTTCTTTTGATGGAAAAAAAGAATAGAAATTATTGTACTTTTAAGGGGTAAAACATAGACAATACAACTTATCTAAAGAAATCTGCTGCTTACAGCTGTGTTGAAAAACTAACTAAAAATGATTAATTTAAAAAAGTGAGTGAAAGCTTTTTGTGGATATTTTCAATTCTTAATATCACTGGTAAGATTGTTGCTTAATTGTTTAAATTCTACTTTGTTATTATGAGGTAAGGCTGAGTATCTCACATTTTATTATTTTAGTGCTTTTTAAAAAAAGGTCTAAGAATTAGAACAAGATGAGGCACTTCTCTTTGATATGACTTGTAGCACAAGCTGGGAGAAAATGCTGACACAGCAGTGGGGGAAGAACGGCTTTGCAATAGAATCTCTCAGCCTATTCATGCAACATTAGGAGGTTGTCACTAGAAACTAGCTAGATTGTTGTGTGTTACTATCTGAACATTTTGCACTGCGAAGCACGTCTGTACATTAATAACAAACAGAAACAAAAACAGTAGCATCTAAAGTGCACTGAATGCATCGAACCATTGTAAGATCATGGTTTTACACTCCTAACACTTTTTAAACATTTTCCAGCAAATACTGAAACAAAAAATAAAACAAAATGCATTTTTTAAACCCTGTTTTGTAGACTAATACTTTTAAAAGCCATCTTTGGAGTTGTTGCCATGGGTTGCCCCTTTTTTTCTAGGCTCTGGGACCAGCTCCACGCTGGTGTTCTTTCTTGGACAACCTCACAGAGGAGCTGGAGGAGAACCCAGAAACCACGGTGTACGATGACTACAAATTCGTCACCAGAAAGGACTTGGAAAACCTTGGTGAGCCAAGGCACTAGTTACCTCTTTGGAATGTTCTGTTACGTAATCTCCCTGCAGCTCAGAGCAACAGAATCGCACTGAAAGCAGCCAGCTCCTGCTAAAAAGCCTACAGTTAGCCAGATCTCAATCCCCTGAAGTCAGACAACAATAATGCGATGTAAAAAATCTTTGAAACAGTCATTTTCAGTGGGGTTTATTTTTATTAAGAGGTGGTATATTCGAGTCCAAACCAGATATATTGAGGAATCATAAAAAAAATTGTATAAAAAGCTGGGCAGTCATTCTTTTCAGTTTTGTAAATGGATGATTGAACCAATGTTACACCATGCAGCACACCTTGAGTAAATATTACTGCTGTATTTGTGAGTGCCCTTCATCCTTTGTCAGAGTCACTGCTTCTGCTGCCTCCCTCAAGTTACAACGTCAATGAAATATTCCGCCACATGAACAGTACAAGTTAATAGCAGTTGCACACGTCAGCACACAGTGAATCAGTGCTCCAAGGCATATTATTTCTTGTACTCTCCTCCCTACTTTTACATGCTAAACTGAATTTGTACACTTATTTCTGTGCTGTCAGGTTGGAACTGGCATGACTGTAAGCTTTTCTTGACCACTTTCAAAACAGTGATAGTAAACAGAAACCAATCCAGTAGTTAAACTACTTGTTTTAAAATAGGTAACAAGGAAAGCTGAATAAAGGGTGGCCTGTTTTCAATTGTACTGGATAAAGCGGTTAGAAAACAGTTGGAAAAGTGAATAAATTGATATGTAGGTTTCATTTTATTGTAGAGCTTTATAATGAATTGGAAATGGACAGTGAGTTTTACTTCACAGCTTCTGCTGCATTTTAAGGGAGTATTAATTACAATGCCACGTGGAAGACAGAAGCAATTGCTAATCCCACTGGCAATTATGAAACTAGCAATCAGGATTCGGTTTTCAGATGTAGGAGCTGACGTTGTGAAAAAAAGATAAAAGATGTTCAGGACCAAAGTCTGTGTGTGCTTTTGTGCAGTGTACATTGAGGATTATAATGGTACTTGAAATACTAAGAGCTTGGCATTAATGTGTTCTCCGCTTTAATTATTTGTAAACCCAAACTGAATTTAGAAAGCAGCCTTTATCATAATTATAATAGCAGTACTATTACCTTTCAAAAGCACTGCACATTCCTTTATATTCACAGCCATTGCAAATTTTGTGTATTTAGATGTGGAGTATGGCTTTAAATGAGCCTTGGAATCTAAATTCTACTTGAATTTATAGGCCTTGCACATCTGATTGGATCCCCACTTCTTCGAGCTTACATGCATGGATTCTTCATGGATATTCGATTGTACCATAAGGTCTGTCCACTTCTATAATTCTTTTATTTGTGTATGATTGTGGGAGCATGGTTCAGATTTATAACTATTTAAAATAAACATCTATTGTATTGTACCTCTGGTAAAATAAGGTCAGGAACCAACTCATTCTGATTAAGTTTTCATTTTTTAAATATGCTATTTTGCGTGAACCTTTTTTTTCTGTAAATATGTAGCTATAACTACTGTGTTTAAATACCATACAGTCCTTATACAATTTGGTGCATTTGCTGTACTTTTAGGTGAAGTCCATGGCCAACCCATTTGCCTATGATGAATATCGCAAGGATAAGATTCGACAGAAGATAGAAGACACCAGGACACAAAGAGTGCAAATAAAGGTGCAGTATCCTGGGAAGCGGGAGAGACCTTGAAGGAATTGCTGTTTTCTTTCCTGCTCTCCTTTATTAATTATAAGACTGTTTATTTTAAGTCTTATTTAAGTTCACTGTTTTCAGTACCTTATTCTTGAAGTTATTTAATAGTCATTCTCACGTTTCTTCCTATCAGTTTAGTTACGCAGGTAACAAAATAAAAAAACTGAAAGATGACGTGAACGATCACTACTGTGGGTTGAAGCTTTGGTGTTCTTTTATACATGAACAGTGTGACGTGGCCAAGAGCCACAATTGTCTTCATAATTTGCGTAGGGAATAGTCTTGTTAGAATACAGCACAAAGCAATATTGCCCTTGCAATATTGGTCTGGCATGTGTTTTAGTTCGGATTTCCCTTTATCTGTGTGTTGTGAAACAGAAACTGCCGAGTGTCAACAAGGAGCTGGCAATGAAGCTAATGGAAGAAGGGGAAGATGAAGATCTCCTGAAGAAAAAGAAAGGGAAGGTGAGAAGCTTCTCCTGACAATGACATTTCAGAGTTCTTCCGGGTTTTCCTTGCCTTCTTCTCCTGGGGCATGTCATGATCCTGATATAGTGGTCTAGGGTGGTGTTCTTTGTCACCCGTAGGATTTTGAAATACTTTCCTTCCATTTAATGAGCATAGTTTATTTTGGTTTTGTTTTAAAGTGTTTCTGTGTAATACACTTCTTGGAATTTTTCTGGTAATCCTGGTATAGACCTTTTTCTCTGCGTTCTGACTGAAATTAAGTCAACTGAAAAGTCTTGCCTTAACCTTTATTTAGGGAATCAGGACTAAAACCATTTCATTTTAATGAATGATTTCATGAGACACCAAGATGATTGTGAAAAGACTCTTTTTCACTTAAAGTCTCATAATCCCGTCATCCTGCATTTAATTAAACTTCCCCGTTATTTGGCGTTCTCCTTCTTCATTTCTGTTCTACTTCTTTCATGCAGCGTATGCCAAGCATCCTTAGTGATGATCGCTTCAAGGTGATGTTCGAGAACCCAGATTACCAGGTGGACGAGATGAGTGAGGAGTTCCGGCTGCTTAATCCCATTGTGTCGAAGGTCAACCAGAAAAGGAAAAAGAAGCTCAGAATGCTGGAGCAGCAGGAGGCTCCTTTGCAGGTAATGACAGTCCTGATAGCTTAACAGCCCAAACATCCCCGTTTTCTAGTGTCCTGAGTTATTTTATTCCCTTCAAGATTTGCATCGTTCACTCTCAGACATGCATTATAAATGTGCCAGGAAAATGCTTGGTGCTTTTCTCCCTGTTTAGTATAAGATGCCAAGTACAAATTAGGACGTTTGTACCACTGTTTTTTCTTTCGTGTTCTCATATTTCAAATACTTATCTATAATTTTGTACCCAGCCACCGTGTTATGAACATTAGTAAGGGATGTGTGCAGAACTGAAACAGTTATTTAAATCCTAACCTGTCCCACCCAATGGCAATGAAAAATCGTAAGTTACCCTGAGTGACCCAGAATAAAACACTCGGAGAGATTTCTCGGAAGCGTTGTTTTAGATTCTGGGCTGCTCTTTGCTTGTGCTGATGGATGCTTTTAAGATGGAGAGTGTGCCAGCTGGAAGACCTCCTCCAGTCTGTGGGTTTGATCAGTGAATGTGGAGTTTTGATGCTCTCCGAGAGAACTCTGCAAGTCTTTAACATTTGCATTTTCAGGGTCAATTCCTAATAAATGTGATAAGGGTGCAGTCGGATGAATGAGGCAGTATGCTTTCAGTTAAATGCTATTGCCTTCAAAACCATTTTTTCCATAAAAATTAAGGGATTTGTCAGGAATTACATTGTACATTTTAATGCAATATTTATCTAAATTGTGTGCAAATACCGGTAATATCGCATTAGAGAATGGTCGGTTTTAGTTTCACCACATTCAGTTCTTAAGAGACTCAAAAACTCACAGGCATTAAGTCAATGAAGGAAGGCAAAAACAAAAGTAAAAAATGTGGCAAGACGGTGCCCTATGTACAGAGTGAAAGAGGAGACCATAGTGAAACATTAGAGAAGATAATGGTATCTGCAAGACAAAGCACACACTGTGATGGGCTTTTGCTTTTACATTGACATCTTCCTTACTCCTGTGAGTTTGTGATTTTCAGATACTGCAGTTTCTGTTTAATGCATTGTGCAAGAATAAAGGCTGTGTTGCATGTTTTTTTTCAGGCATGATTAGAATAAGTGGGAGGATAGGTGGTTTCTGATCACCAATTCTGTGAAGCCTTTTGTCTCTGCAGTCTTCTGCCCAGCGTTCTTCTCACATCTTCCTTTGTCCACACATTAAATGGACAGACCAATTCCTTTCCCTCAAGAGTCTGGCCTGTATGAGTTGACTCAGAACACATTATTAGAGAATTTGTTGTTGGATTGGTTTGTAATTGTACCGGCAGCTCCGAGGAAAGATCTGTTTTGTGTGCAGCGTTTCTCAGAAGTCTGGTAGCTACAATTTCTTGAACCTTGTAATTCTGATAATTACAGTGCTATTCCAATTCTACAGTTTGCTTGCTGACTAAATGTTTTCAAGGATGTCTTGTGAGTTTAAGAGACACCTACAAAATACATTATATGAGACTCTTACTGGGGAAAAAAGCAAGTAAATGTTTGTTACTGTACGTTCTAATAGAATGTTTCTGTAATGAGTAGTTGAGTCTCTTGAGTTGTACGGTTCCATCTTGAAGGAGGGTAGAAGCTAATCAAAAATAGTTATAGCTATTTTTTTTCTTCAGTTAGTTTTGGCTCACCTTATGTGTGGAGCTTGCCTCCCTGGGTTGGTATGGGTTTTCACAGGCGCTCTGTTTCCTCCCTTCTTTCGAAGGCATGCTAGCTGGGCTGATGGGAGTCTTTCACTTGTCTCTGCGTGTGCGTGTGCGTGTGCGTGTGCGTGTGCGTGTGCGTGTGCGTGTGCGTGTGCGTGAATGTGAATGAGGCCCTTTAATGGACTGGCATCCTGTCCAGGGCACAGTCCTGGCTGGCACCATGTGCTTCTGGAACATGCTTCTCATGATGAATGATTGTAAGTGGTGCTGTTGTGTAAAAACATCGACTTCATTGCTGGCGTAAAAAGCAGTTTGAGCATTTTTTTTTTTTGTGCCAGATTTCCAGCAAATGAAGTATCAGGTAGAAACCCGTCTTCAGGTCGGGGCGGGAGTCTAGTTGTGAGCCTGTTTCCTCGTGTTCCCAGGAGGAAGAGGAAGAGCCCGAGGGGAAAGCCAGCGAGGAGGAGAGCTCGGACAGCTCCGATGATGACAAGAGCTGGGTGGAGGAGGTGAGGCAGCAGCGGAAGCTGCTGCGCCAGGAGGAGAAGGCCAGGCGGCGGGAGAAGAAGCTGGAGGACCGACGGACCAGCCTGGAGCCCCGATTCTTCGAGATCAAGGCTGGCGAGGAGTTCCGCAGTTTCAAAGACACGGCTCGGAAGCAGAAGCTGAAGAAGTGAGTGGGATTCGTATCTCCATATCCAGTTTCCTGATTCACCCCTCTGTATCTAAGCTGTGACTGTCCCCGACGGTTTTGTTGAATTCCCCAATTTCCAGCGAAGACGTTTGTGCTTTTTCTGTCAGAAGGAAGAATGAATGTCAAACACTAAAGGGCACACAATGGTGCCTTTCACAAGCAAAAAAAAAAAACAATCATCAGACTTGTGTAATTTGATTTTTTTCTATGAAATTGCTTTGAATACTTCTTTTCAAAATATACTTTTAAATCAAGTATTTTAATTTAACCAGACAGAATCTAGTCTTGTTAACCTAATTGTTGGTTTTGGAAGGCTTGTGTGCTGTTAAGCAATGCTGAATTATGTCAGCAATTTTTACACATTCTACGGTGACCTATGGGGAAATATATGGGCCTCTTTCACACTGGTATTTTATCTAGTCCCTAATTTATGGAATGCTATTGGTTTTCTGGTTCTTAATGAACACAAGTATTGATCGGGCCCTTACAAGCACTGGTGTGAGAGTATTTTTACATTTTGGATCTCTGCCAGCATCTACATTTATTGCCGGATGCAGTTTCAAAAGAAGTCTTCCACTTTCTATATGGAGTGCGACATGGAGCTGAATATAGTCTCAGTCATTTATTAATAGTACTCGTAGTATCGTGCACGCAGTATTTTCTTCAAGGGAATTATTACGTCTCCTGTATACTAATTTAGTGTTCTTTAACAAATTTCTCTGGGGTTTGGGGTGGGGTTAGTTGGCGAGGGCTCTCTCAGTGACACGTTGACCCCTGCCGACTCTCGGGTGCTGTTGGTGTGTTGCTGCCTAAACTTCTGGTGTTCTGCTGTGGTGACTGTGAAGTATGAAAAGATGAGTGACTGAAAATGAGCCAGTCAGAGGATTCTGTCTGCACTTCTTTATCCCCACCCTGTGGAGAATGCAAGCCGAGAAGTGAAAAATGCATAACTGCTGACTCCACATTGGGGGGCATAACAAAATTAACAGTGGGTACTAAAAATTCGAAGTATTTGAATAATCACGCGGTTCTTTCCAGTTTTACAGTAAAAGATATACAAAAGAGTCCTTCAGAATACTTTATACACTATGTTTTTAAAAGAAGATGTTTTGTATAAATCTTCTTGCATTCCAAGTTGATTTAAAAGGACATCAAAGTTCCCAGTATTTTGAAGGCATATAATTTTCAAGACCAAAGCCTTTGTGATTTTGCCTGTTAATCACAAATTGATTTTTTCTTCAAAATACGTCTTCAAACAACCAAAGACATATATAACGTCTTCTTATGAAGATATATTTTCATCCTGTTTTTGAAATAATATTCATTAATATTGTTTTCACATCTGCTTTCTCCTCTAGAACTACGCTTGAAGATCGTTTGAAACTCGAAGAGAAATCTGGAACGCTCAGTGTCTCTGACACCACAGTGGGCAGCAAACAGCTGACATTCAAACTGAAGAAGGTGATTTTTTTTTTTAAGTTTATAACAATTTTTTCTCTCTGTCAAAATTACAATTAGACTCTTTAAAACTTAGAATAGAATTGCCAGTGCAGGATCTTAACTCAAGTTGCTGAAATGAAAGATCACAATTCAGGCGTATACCAGAAAATCCCAGGTTGATGGAACAAAAGGCTAGTGTATGCATCAGGATTTCTTCAGGATAGCTCTTTTTCAGTAGACTGTATAATGGGCCTAAATCCCTATTTAAAAAAATAGCTAAAGTGCTGTAAACATCTAACTATTATAATAAAAGCAATACAGAATACTTTCTTATTATTATCATTATTTAATATGTATTGATTTTATAAGTGGTGTGAACTTCTGGTAGGTTTGTGCCTGTGCTTCCTCCTCATTGGTTGAGAGATCGTGGAGACTTGTTTTTTACTTTCTCTCCTCCTTCTAGTGGAATATGACCTCTGTTGTGAAGTAAATCCAAAAGCTGACAATTGGAAACTCATAGGAAATTCTCTGGAATTCTGGGGTTATTGGGTTGGCAGCAGAGATCATATGTGGTAACATACTATACCTACAATAGGGAAGAAACCCACTGCTGCACCTGCACCATGGCAGTCTGGGGCTATGTTCATACAGTGGTGTAAGTTTACTGCTCTATGTTTAGTCAGTGCTGAGCAAAAAGCGATACCCTACTATACCCCAGTGCTGTAGTAGACACTCTCGCCATCTATGGCATAGGTGAATGTAATGCAATCCTGGTAAGTGCCTGGTTTCCAGCATTTCCATTGAAGCCCAGCTGTGCTATCTAGTCAAAGTGGTTACACAAGTCTCGCATCATCTTCGTATGGGATAACTAAATGTAAAGCAAGGCGGCATAATGCTACTGCCCGACAATTGTGATTTACTTCTTTCAGTTTTCCTTATTTTAGTGTGGGCGGAGTGGTAAAAAGACAATCCCTGGATTAATTTAAAAAATATTTTTTTTTATTGAATTTATTGAAGATCAAAAGATCATTTTTTTCATGAGCTTTTATAGCAAGCATTGTGTCTCGCAGTTACAAATGCACAGAGGGAATCTTTAAGGAAATGTGCTTTAGAATTAAATCTTAAAACACTAATATTATAGTAAATTACAGGCATCCTCCCAAAGGCAGCAAAAGATGCCTGCGAACACATGGGATTATACAGTTATCAATTTTAAGTGCTATATGTGGCTTTGGCATTGTTAATCCAGGGACTGAGTTAGACTGGGAAGCTATCCAGAATGAAGTTGCATGTTGACTGCAGTCCAGTTTGTGCAGCACTTTTTTTTTTCTGTGCTCACAACAAAGCGTGAGGTGACTTTCCTTTAGTTCCACATGTCACTCGCGCCAGGCTCGGAGCGACCTCCTCTGAATGCTTATGGACGACAATATCCAGCAGCCGAAGTCGGATCGATCAGCAGCACTGCGTTGTACTGACAGCCCTTTCTTTCCTTAGTCTGAGCAGCAGGAGAAGCAGCAGGAAGCTGAACGGCAGCACCACCAAGAGAGGAAGAGGCTGAGAAGAGCGGCCGGCCATCTCCAGAGCAGGCCTTCCCGAGGAAGAGGACGAGGACGAGGACGCTTTTGAAAGAAAATGTTTTTTTTTATGCTGACTTCTGCCTGGGACCCTGGTTCAACCGTCCGGGGGTGCTAACGTGCTTTAGACAGTGGGCTTCAGCTCAGACACAAAGGTTAGGTAAAGAAGCCTTTCAGTACTTTACAATAAAGCAGTATCAACAGACCTTGATACCTTCTTTTTCAGATAAGGTTGCTTTGTACAGACAAAACAACTGTTATTTTTCTTACGTTTACTGCCCTGCTGCCAGGCTTCATGGTATTTATGCGCAACATATGTTTTAAACATGGAGTGGAGTTTCCTTCAACATGTTAATGCAGAAAATGTCCACACTTGTCTTTTGAAGGTTCTAGTCAGAACTGACGTTCAGCAGCGCCCTGCAAGTTCAGGCATATGACTGACCAGTTGACGCAACATCCTTGTTATTGATGTTACTTGTGACCATGGAGGAAGCGGAATGAACTTGATTACATGACTTTTCAAGGTCTAAAGTGAGGCAACAGTTTTGTGTTTTTTTTTCCCAATGCACTCCTCCTTGGTCCAGTTTGAAGCAGTGTAGCCCAGGGTCGAGCTGTTCATGGTAATATACGTTTTTAAGAGGCAGTAACTAAAACAAACAGCTTTTAGAAAAAAAAGAGAAACATCGACCACTAACGGGCTGTATTCCTGAATTCTCAGGAGTAATGTCAATGATGCTCAACATTTTAAATACATTTTAAGGATATCAAATAATTAAACTTCAGAATGACTGTGTTGCAGTTTGGAGCAAGTTTCAAAGTGCTCTGTCCCCAATAAAAAACAACTGACAGCACGTGAGCCCTTGTTCTGCTTTGGAAGTCCGAACATTGTGATGGTCTGAAGCTGTGAGCTACAGGATGTGATCTTTGAGCTGGTAGGTGGAAGTGTAGTCCTTGATGGGTCGGTGTTTCAAACGGAGGGGAGGAAGTCTGGGGCCTGGGGGGCGATTTGGAGAGAGTCTTCAGCACAAGGGAGGGTGGGTGGAGTGCCCGTCTTTCGGAGCACACGTGTCAGGAGTTGATTTATGCAGATTGCTCTTGCCTTCCCTGCTGGGGATAAAAGCAGTAGGCTATGCTGAGGCTTCTGCTTTCCCTTCCGGATGCCCAGCTGTGGCTTCCTTCTGCATGGAAACAACAAGCTGGAATCCCGCTCTCCTCCCTGGAAAAGACACACTTCCCAGCAATCATTCCGCTTCCTTCTGGTTGGGGACAAGGTCATGGAAAATGTCACCACGGTTGCCTCACCTACGAATTATGAATTGGGTAAAGACAGACAGCTGCTGTCACCGGGAAGCATGGCTTTCTTTAAAAAGCACAGAAGGGAAAAGAAATTTGTAACGCATTCTCCAGTGTCTGCCATGGATGATAAAAGTCTCGGAACCATTTGGTTATGGAGACGCAGCATGCCATAGATGTTTTTCAGTAAGATTCTTGCACTGACATGGATATTAATGAGAAGATTCTTAGAAGTGAACACTTAATCCCCCAGTGTGACCATCAAAAACTGATGATGTACTACGCACAAGTTCTGTTTTTACATAAACTGATTGTTTACAAGATCTACTTATAAAAGACAGCAAGTAAGACCATCTGCTGTGACATAAATCCCCCCTTTATATAGGCCAAGGCACAGTGCCAGCTATATAAAAAAAGACGAAAAATTAACTTGCCTCTTGGTCACAGTCATGCAGCCACATTAACAAACTTAGATGTGTTGTCTTTAACGCTGTTCTGCTTTTATGTAGAGATGGAGCAGCACCTCTTGTCTGATTTCTTTGGTGCTAAAAACAATACAACAACTAATGAGGCACGAAGCTCTTTTCTATTTCTTTTGCTCAGATTGATCTGGGAATAGTGACGTTTCTTTTGAATATGGATACTGATGCCATCTGCATCACAGTGATTCTTAGGTAACAGTGTTTGTATTGTGCCCAAGAAGAGAGTTCTCTGTGAAAACAATAGCAGACGAAAGCCAGCCAAGACTGGCTTTGGTGGATGCCTGTGAATTTATTACGCACTCTGTTCTTTTCTCTTTCTTTCCACTTTGATCTTATCCCTGAAAGAAATTGAGGTCTTTCAATTAGTGGAACTTGCTCCAGTTTATGCATGTAGTGGCACAGCCAGAGCAATTTTCATAACCACTGTCTGGATACACAAGTACTGTTCTAATTACACTGAGCAAAAGAAGAACAGGAGTTAAGTCAATGCTCCAGGATATCCACTAGCACAAGACAAGGCCTGAAGGAAGCCCAAATGTATTCAGTTGAAAATGTTGTTACTTAGTCAAAGTTGAATCTGTGCAGTCTGCTGTCTTAAGCAGATTAGAGACAGTAACTCATCTAGCATTTGATGTTTTACTTTAATGTTTCAGTGGCTTTGATCTGGATTGTCAGAATGCATTTACTGGCACATAATCCATAATGTTAAGAGTATAAATTAATATTTAATTTAGTAGAATATTCTCAACTTGTTAGACATTTTCACAGCTGTGTGTACATAGTACATGATAATGTTATTGTGGGTTTAAAAGCACTCTGCTTAAAGTACTGTGCAATGACAAAAAGTAATTATGGAAGTCAGTTACATGTAATTAACTTTTACGTGTTATTATTTAATGTTATTTTTAAACAAATTTCCAAAGGAAGGTGACCTTCTTTTAGAAAGACTAGATGATTAACCTAGAGGGTTATTTCTGAGTAACTGTGCAGCTGTTTGTAAAAGAAAAAGAGCAGTTTCTGCAGTTTCCTGACAAAGGCAGCTGTCACCTGTATGAGACGTGGGAGCACTGTCCACTGACGCAGCACGAGATGCCTGAAATGCTGTGGAATTCCTGAGGGGCTCAGCTGGAAAGCTGTGTTGTCTGAGAGGAACTGCTTTGAGCGGTTCTTGGCTGCTCATCCACTTTGATCCTCTAAAATATATCATATGTGCCTGTGGAGCGAAACAGAATATTTTAACAGCTGATAAAGTACACTATCTGGCCAGAAGGTTGTCTTGCTTTGTCTTTGATTGTTTCAGAAGATGTTGATGCTGTAAATTTTTAACGGTGTTCTTATTAATATTTTATGACTGGTTGCCACTGTTATTTAGTGCTTGAACCAAATTGACAAAAACACACAAAGGGAAGGCATGTGTTAAAGCACATATGTTGGCTTCCTTCAATAAAAGGCCGGATGAGATTCTTGGATCAATTAGCTTCTGACTACCAGATGCGTCGAATGGCTTCCTCTCGTAACTGTTTTTGTGTTCTCAAGTGACATTTTTACATGTTGCACATTCTCACACAAGTATAAGAACCCTCCTGTAAATACTTACATATGATTAAATTCCATTGGACCATAAATCAACTACCCTAGTACTTTTTGGTATTGAATGACATGCGTGAATAGTAATAGTGAATACATCTATTGTCTATTGTAATGGTGGAGAAGGGTGCAGAGAGGGGTAGAACTGAAACCTAGAATTCACATAGTGCTGGCACGCTTGTTGTAGCAGAGCCAGAAGATCTAGGCTCCCTTACAGATGAAAGTTGTGTGCAGCCTCTTAGAAGATTCACAAGGCGTGCTGGCAATATGAGATAGTAAGTATGGGTGGAGTTAAGAAAAATGCCAGTAGTGTAATGAAGCTTATTTGTACAAGTGTTTACCTTTTGTATCTGTAAGTCCCGGCAAGACATGTCTTGCATCAGTTTAAAATTGCAATACTTCCTTTGTGTTGTATACGTCTGTTCCGAAAGTTAGGTGTGCTTGCCTCATGCCAGTCTGTTCCTGTTTAACTAAGAACAATGTCATTTGCACGCACACTAATGTAATTGCATACTGTATAGCATTAGACTTATAAGATGAATGAAACTGGCATCCTATTAAACAGTAGTTAGAAGAGCTGGTAATACTCAGTATGCGGAATCATAAAGATAGAAATGGCTGGATGAGATCCTTGGATCAATTAGTAACTGATAAGCCAGAGAAACTAGATGAGCCATTTTCCATATTCTCTCTTCGAACTGTTTTTATGTTCTTAAAATGTGTTAAGTGGTGTACAGTTTTTACTAAATATACTGTACATCTAGGAATATATTTATAATGAGAAAAATTAAAGTCACACAATCTACATAGTGATTACAAAATGAAAAAACTGAGAATATTGAGCATTAAAGGAAAAAAAATGAATCTTTTTAGATTTGGGTGTCATTTTAGTTACAAATTGGCTCATTAACAAAAGTATATTTTCCACCCTACCAAAATATTAGAACAAGGTACTGTATGGTCCCTTGGAGTGGACTGTCGTGTCCATAATAATGGGAGCAATCCAGCTTGTGGTCCATGTCCTCAGGAACCATGACTTGTGTACAGTAATATCAAAACACGTTTTTTGTCTCAGCATACGTGGGAAAGCTATGAGGAAAAAAGTCTGTTCTAGCTCATTTAACTCATTTAACAGGAGGTGTGGTTTTTGGAGCCGATTCGTCTGATCCATTGCATGAGGTGGCAACAGACGTGGCAAATTCATCCATACAGACAGTCTCTAAAGTTTAGCAGTGGTTACCAAATAAAAATAAAACATATGAAATGCAGTTAAGTGCATGCTGGTCTCATGTCTTCGTGGACATTGGTGACTATACAATGTTCTGGAGAGACACAGAAAATTGAGGAAAAGGGGGTGGGGGTTGCACTTTACATCAAAATGAGAATTTAGAAGAGGAGTGTTCTAGAGGAGTTGATTCCCTAAATCTAGAGTTTGATTTAGAAAACAGAAAACATCCAAAAGACTTAGGTCTATTAATTATATTTCAAGATGGAACAATGAACTTAAGAAAACATGTGAAAGAAAAAGTGGTTTTCATGGGAAATTTAAACTTTCCTCAAATAAACTAAGAAATAAAAGTCTAGGTTTCTAAACCTACTTCTCCTTCCTTCATAATCTTCTTTACTGATGTTGAAAATTTTTTGACTCAGACTGTAAGCATACTTCAACACACACAATCTTAAGATCACAGTTCTTTAATGGTTCTCTCATCATCTTGTTTGGTTCACTCTGTCCTGAAAGAATGAAAAGACAAGGTCAAGCATTTCATACTTTTGGTGCTCGGATGAACTAGATAAGAAAATTGACATTTACCAGGTCTACAGTTTATTCCGCTACTGATATTCCCCATTCTTCCATATATAACACTTCTTTTTGAGCACATAAATTCATTATTTCATTACACGGTGTTGAATTATATTTAATAACTGTAATTTATGGTCTGTAGCATATTCCTGGCACTATAACTTTAGAATGTTTTTTTATTCATCTGTCCCACATGTAGATTTAAAGAGTTTTGATTCCTCTAGGCTAATTTCCTGAACCTGAATACTCTTTTTGAAATGAAGTGCTAAACATACCCCATTCTGTCTTACAGGAACAGTGGACATCCACTAAAGCTGCAGTTTAATGTCGCAACATTATTTCACTCCAGTATTTACCAAGTAAGAAATTGGCAACATGCCTCAGGCTGAGGAGTAACACAATTCTGTTCTGTGCTGAATTAGTGTAGAAGAGACAAATGTGTTACAGTCACTAGAAAAGCCTAAGATCAATCTCTAGCATCTGATGATATTCTATTAAATGTATTGTACTTAAGGAAATAAAAATTGCTCTTCACAGGCCATTGACACATTTCTTCCAATCGGCATCCTACGAACTGAATTCAAGGAACCAAGAACTGTTATTCTGACTCTTAACATAACTCCTCCAAGAACTAATCAAGACACAGGTGGATTGGAGAATCATAAATGTTAGTGCCCATCTATAAAAACAGTGATAATATGGACCAAGTAATTAGTAATTCTGTAAAGTGTAAGGTAATGGAAACAGTGATTACAACTTAAATAGAGAATCACGTATAAGAGATGCTAGGGAAATATTTTAGAAAAGGCAGATCTTAAAATTAGTTTACATTTACTAATGTTAGTGTTGTTTTAACTCTAGCTACAAGAGTAATGGACACAGTATGTAAGATGTGGAATATTTAATTTTGATCATAAAGGATTGACTATTTCACAAATTTGCAGGCAATAGGCAATACATAGCTAATGCAAATGTTTGGATTGAAAACTGGTCAATAGATACAGAGCACCACAGATAAGGGATGACTGTTCTGATTAGGGTGGTGTGATTAATGGAGTACCAGTGATCTTTCTTGGGACCATTGCTCTTCATAATTTGTATCAGGGATCTAGATTCTGGTATGGTTTGTAAACTTTTGAAAATAGATGTTTCAGACAATACTGTAAAAGCAGCAAAGGAAGCTCAAAAGGTTTTAGAATTCAAGATGTTGATGTTTAATGTAGACAAGTATTCGCTTGCTTAACTGTTTAATGCTGAAAACTGCAAAGTATTACATTCAGGTAGGAAAACAAACTCCAAATTCAAAAAGGGAAACACTGAATTTGAAGATGTTATTAAAGACTATATTGACAGATAATTTATATCTAGGCATGGGGAAACAGAACATTTATACAATTCTAGATTAGAAAGGGTTTATAGAACATAATCTAAATCATTGGATGTTTTGTTAAAATAGAACAGCACCGTTGAGACACCTGATTTTGTCAAATTGGTCACTGCAATGCAAAAAAAGATAGTGCTGCTCTGGATTCAGATGAAATTAACCAGGAGCTAGCCAGCATTCACAGGCTCTAGGAATGTCCTACACTAATGGGCTAAAATAACTAAATGTTTTGAATCTTGAACAGAGAAAAAATGAAGAGAAATGCATTTAAAGTCATCCCAATGGAATTCTTAAGAATCATTAGTGAAACAAACTAAAGGACACAAGTGGAAACTACAGGTAAGTGCATTTAAAACTAAGAATCGGAGGTACGTCTTTAAACATAGGTTTGTGGGAGTGTGGAACAAGGTACTCAGCTTTGTTTTGAAGCCAAAACCCTTGTTTCTTCCAAGATATGTCAGGATGATCCACAGATCTAATAGCTGCTAATAACTGAATGAGCTATGTGATCATCTCTCATTTGTAACCTTTGTGAAAATGACCTGACCTTCTATTAAGTTATTTTCCCTCTTTTGCTAGGAGAGTGCATGTATCACAAATCAAGATGCTCCATTAATGTTCTTACAGACATTCCATGAGGAAATATTGTGTGTTCTTATAGCTATTTTTTAATGACAGTGTCTCTTGCTAAACTATCCCTTGGAAAAGTCTGAGGTACAGTATTTTCAAACTTTCCAGCAATGAAAAGAATACTCCCTGATTTAAATGTAACCAAAGAGGCTGTAGCTGCATAAAAAGTACTACAGTATATAGTTATGTAACCTCACTTTTGTGTGTTTTTACCTATGAGAACAATTCAACAAATATACTGATATGATATTTTCATGAATGTTAAAAGTTGAATTTGTGGAAAAGGAAAACAAAATTCTAATGCAATGCAGCCTGGGCTTTCTGTACTGTTGTCTGTAAAAATAATATACAAGAAAAGTTGGCTGCAGTCATCTACAGTACATCACAGGTACACACTTTCCTTCTTTTGTTCTAAGCCACAGTATATACTGTATACTATATATAGTATGCTGTATATTACCAACATAAGTAGATATTGGGCCCAAAAAGAAGACTCTTTGTTTTTGCCTTGAGTTCTGTTTTGAGACAGAGATTCCTGAAGGTTGGAAAAAAGAAACAAAAAATAATTGCCTACAATCAGTTGTTCAGTTCTTTTCTATGGGGTGATAAATCTCTAATTCCAGTGCAGAATAGGTTGTAATCGTACTTTCCAAGTGGATCGCCCTTGCTTGTTAAACCATCCAGTAACAGTATCCTAAATGGGAAAATGACTGTGGATTTTTGCAGTCTTGGTGTGAGTTTGATTCTGTTTAGCAACAAGATAGGTCATGCCCACGACAGGGCATTATGAAACAGATTGGCACACCACAGCAATGAGAATACAATCTGCCTTCAGATAACCGAGAGAGGGTCTATAAAGCTGCCTTGTTTGCGACTCTTCTTTTGTAAAATACCTATCACCTAATTAATGTAAAAAAATAGACCACAATTTGGGTAAACTGGAAAATGTAAACTGAAAGGCACCCAAATATCTGAAAAGTACTGAAAATATCTGAAAAGAAAAATAACTGAAAGTACACGAATACATAGCGGTAGATATAAAGGGGCAGATTTAATCTGCAGAGATAGACAAGACATTCACAGGATTTCTGCCAGCTCCATCTTTACACAGTTGTATTAACTTACAAGTTAAGTCTTAAAGACTTTATTTTATCTGCGGTGCACAACCGTTCAACCCATTGGCTCTCTCTTGTGATGTTGGAGATGAAACTATGTTGGAAGGCGGGGGGGAGTTAAACAGGATTTGAAGGAGTCTGGAAAACTGAGAGTGACTGAAAAGACTCTGCTGCTGGTTTGGTTATCTAGCACAAAAGGAGCTGCTTTTACAGAATAATCCTTTCCCACTGCTTGCCTCAATAGGCCCGTTTACACAGATGAGATGTCAAAGCCTGTCTCCTGCAGAGTCAGCCTCACTCGGAGGACTGGTTCAAAGAACTGCTAATGATTTGTAAGCACTAGTGCTATTATGGTGGATGTCTAGTTCCAGGAAAAGGATAACAGACTTCGCTGCGCTGTCACTGTGCCCCTACATTTCATCATGTTCACACAAAAAGAAGGAAAAGTATACACAATGAAAGATGCAGCAACTGATTGCGTCAAAGAGCTTTTTTGGCGGGAGTTGGCAAGTACATTCCCCTGTGACTCCAGTTGAGCCTGAATTAAGGATGATTTGGCAAGACTGCAAATGGTGTTTGATATCAGAACAAGGCGGTTAGTGCGGTTTCACTGTATTTGGCAAAAGCCACAAAAGACTACATTTAAAGTATGACAGTGTCTCTGTGTTGAATTAACAAATGGTTGAACCTGACCATCTTGGCAATAAAAAACCAAGCTAAAGTCTGCAACAATTTTACATGGCAAAATACAGTGCTCTGCTGCAGTCCCTGTCTCACCACAGACATGACACTATGTGTAACAACAGCTTGCCTAGTTGGGGAATAATCCTCATTCTGTAAAAGGGAAGACTATGCTACAGCCTGGTCAAGGCTTAATAGTTTGATATTTTGAATTTAGAAAATGAACAAAAGAGAAGGAAGTATAACTGCTATTTATGATGTTACTGGGGTTATACAAATAGCCATCAAAACAATGTACACTGGATAGCCATAGAGGCTTCTCCTGCCATTTTGTTCCTTAATATTTTTTTGCAATTAGATTTGCAAAGCTAATGGTCAATTATTTGGGCTTTTCCCCTTTATTACCGTTTTTCTGACCCTGCTTTGTAGGTGTTGTTATATTTAGTCTGGAATGCTGACTTTCAGATTTAGTGACATGATTAAAGGTTTGCAACATTTTGACCTTGTGTGTGCATTTATCTGTGTGTGTGTGTGTGTGATGCAGCACTTTTATTTATAGCACAGCACCTAACTGAAAGTTTAACTTTATTACTCTTTTCTGTTTTACAGCCCACCATATAAAGTAAAAAGACAAACGTGAAATTCAAACTGCAATCAGCAGGTTTTTTTTTCCCATTTGCACCTCATACAGTATGAGCAAGTCACAATTGCATCTTCATGAAATCGGTGAGAACAAGAGGGCATTCTTTCAGAAGGTTTCCCGTCTGCGTGTTCCCTCTGTTACGCCTTTGTTCAATCCCGACATGCTCCCTGTTGCAAACAACAAATAACTGTTTTAGAAATGTGTAGATAGTTTCTTCCATTTATTGGAACTAAACAAAAGGCAGTTTGAGTGATCGTGTGGTGAATTTTTTCGTTACATCAAGATAAGAACAAATCATTTTGTACAAGAAACTTCCATTACGAATTTTCACTGGCATTTTGATAGCAGGCTAGAGAAAGTAACATTTTTGTAAGTTTTGATATTACGAGAAGGAGTATGATTTGTGATGGACCTACTGTATATTAGCTTTAGGGGGCTTCGGGATTGTCTCTGAAATTGATTAGTAGGTAGATGTAA